AAATAATCACTCTCTTAATATAGACATGGATTGGTCTACATAATTATTTAATTGTAAATTTCAAATTCAAACAGATCAATAACTATAGTGCTTAAATGTAAACAGTAATGCCAATTTTAGAGAAGATTTTTTTTTTTTTTTTTTTTTTTTTGTTAGATCTATTTTTTTTTTTTTTTTTTTTTTTTTTTTTTTTTAAATATCTTTATTTTCAAATAGAAATCATTACATCAATATATACAAATGTGTGTGTGCTTGATATAGTGTGTATTTAACATAGTTCAAACATTAATAAAAATTGTCAATACATGAACAAAATGGTGAACATTATTTAAAAAAAAGGATCAACAATTCAAATGAAGATAACCAGAATTAAAGAAATACAAACATGGTTTTTTTTTTTTTTTACCATAATAGTCTTAAGTGTTTTTACAGTTTTGTTGAGAATTTTTTGCAATATAAACAGCGTGAGGAATTAATAGAAAATATTAACAAGTTCCAAATTTTTTTTTTTTTTTTTTTTTTTTTTTTTTTTTTTTTTTTTTTTTTTTTTTTTTTTTTTTTTCAAGATATTCAGTGTTTAATTACATCAAACAAATATATCAGAGTACAACAATATCACTAATAAACAACATTTTAATATGTAAATCAGAATTTGTAAATGATGAACTTATTTTAGGAGTCTAAGTAAATGAAAAGAAATGCAAGATACTAACTTTCTAAAACTTGTACACATGGTGATGAAGGGGAAAAGTTATTTAGGTAATTAATTTTGCTTGGCTTTGCTAAAGGCAATCAGGAATAAATAAAAACAGTGTCTGGAAGCTCAATACATTCATATCTGAACAGTCTATGTGTGGTTTATGACTAGGATGATGTTTTAGTGGAGAAAACTTACAAGAGTTGAAATATGGATGGGTGAAACAGTGATGAATTAAAAAAGACAATACCAAAAACAACAGCAATTACAAATTTGCAAAAGATATGTAGCGTAAAATGAGACCAAATTATGTCCAATTAGAATTTTAAAAGCTTCTATTAGGAGACTAACCTATACACAATCAAATGGTAAATATTTGATGCGAAAATAAAACATTTATGTAGTTCAATGGTAAGGGATAACAAGTTCCAAAACACGTGCAATTTTGGTTTTTAATAGGGCTTGTAATTCTCGTTTACTCATATGTCATCAAGATTGACTAGAAGTATGTTATAATAAAACTAACGTGTTTAGACTTTCAAACAAAATCTATAGTTAAGTAGTTAATAAGTAAAATATATTGTTTTGACACGGGTACATAGCTAATATAAACGATTTATTATAATTATTACGTAATGAAATTTAAAGCGTTTTATTGTGTTTTTTAAGCATGTCTAAGTTACACTGTTTCATTTAGCTATTCTTGTGGAAGTTATTTCCCTTGAATTAAATTTTGGTATTTGGGTTGCCGAATGGGAGATAAATCGTTGCTTAACTTTATATTCGTTTCAAATTCCTGCGCCTTAGGTTGAACTCTTACATATAAATACAACTTAAAGTTATCATTTGCTTTTGTTAAAATTATATAGAGCAGAAGTTTCAAACAAAAAAGTTTTGTATTTTATTTAGCACTAGCGTACCCGTCCCCCGCGCGTTGCCGCGGGGATAGAATAAAGTCTGACGAAATATATTAGAAGGATATCACCAATGCATTACCAATCATATGTTCTTAGACGCATCACCTTGTTTTCTAAAACTGTGTTATTTAAATGTCAACATTGCCTGCGCTTGGATAATAATTATCGGGACACGGGTTTTTCTACACTACCGCATGAAAATCTTGAGTGTATATTAATCACTCACCGTAATAATTAGGTAGAACACACTTCAGTGACCACCCATATGTCAGGAACGTAGAGGGGCGCTCTCAGGAGCCCCCACCTCTATACCCCCCGATTACACTACCGCAGAGGCGCAGCGTAAGGCCCCTGGCTCCTTAAAACTAACAGGCGCCATCGTGCTCATAGGATAACCCAGCGTGCCAAATAGCATCCTGTAAACAATGATGCAGATTTCGTCATTCGCTAAAGTGACACAAATGAACAGGATTTTTTTCTTTAACACATACAAAAATTATTTGACGTGTTTTAAACATCAGTTCGACTGATGCAATATGCTAGCGTTACTAATGGTCTATTATTAGATGCTCGGTCTCAATTTCGGCCTGGATCGTCTAATAATAGATGCTTATTGCATCATTCGCAAAGTGACGAAACTCTACAGTAGGTTCCTCATATTCAAACATTTATTTTTTCATCTTTCGCAAGGTGACGAAACTGTACAGGATTTCCTCGCGTTACAAAGTTATTTTTAGAAGCCTGTTGTAGTTTTACCGCTGAATATAGTAGTACCCCTTACTCGCTATACAGGACGCTCGATTAACGGATGTCAAGTGCCAACTTAGTCGCTCTAAAACTCTGGGCGCCAAACCGTGTATTGACGAAAGTTGTACCCTATATGGCGCCGCCCGTAAGAAACTTTAGTTTTCTTTTTCGCAGAAATATTCTCGGGAGTATTCTCATCTACTTCCTAAAGTTTCATGGTACTCGGATGAACCGCATCCGAGTTTTATTTTTTTTTTTTTATAAACCGTATATAGAGAAAAAAAATCGCTCCCCCCCCCCCGGCGGTGCGCCGCCCTTGCAATATTAAACAATATTTTTTACAGAACCCTACCATTGAGTGATCTAATCATCTCCCCAAAGTTTCATGGTAGGCTACACGGATGAACGATGTGAAACCGAAATAGACTTTTATTTTTATAAACCGTATATAGAGAAAAATTGCAGCCTCCCGTGGCGCCGCCCTTGCGAAATTAAAAAAGGATTTTTTTTTTACAGAACCCTTCCCTGAATTGTTCTAATCAACTCCCCCAAAGTCTCATGGCTTTCGGATAACGGTGTCACACCAAAATCGACTATTTTTTAAAATATACCGTATATAGAGAAAAATCGCACCCTCCAGTGGCGCCGCACTTGCGAAATTAAAAATTATTTTTTTTACAGAACCTTTCCCTAGAGTGGTATAATGAACTCCCCAAAGTTTCATGCCTATCGGATGAACGGTGTCACTCCAATTCACTTTTATTATTTTTATATACCGTATATTGAGAAAAATCGGACCCTCCCGTGGCGCCGCCCTTGCGAAATTAAAAATTATGTTTTTTACAGAACCCTTCCCTAGAGTGGTATAATGAACTCTCCAAAGTTTCATGCCTATCGGATGAACGGTGTCACTGCAATTCACTTTTATTATTTTTATATACCGTATATAGAGAAAAATCGGACCCTCCCGTGGCGCCGCCTTTGCGAAATTAAAAATGATTTTTTTACAGAACCCTTCCCTAGAGTGGTATAATGAACTCCCCAAAGTCTCGTGGCTATCGGATGAACGACGCCAAACCAAAATCGACTTTTATTTTTATATACGGTATATAGAGAAAAACAAATCGCGCCCTGCCGGGGCGCCACCCCTGCGAATTTGAAATTGTTTTTTTCGCAGAAACCTCCCCAGGAATATTCTCAACAACTTCCCAAAGTTTCACGGCGATGTGATGAGAGGTGTAGTAATGCATAAAGGACAGACAAACAAACAAACACACACACATACATTGCTTTTTATATATATAGATTATCCAATTGAAAAACAAATACACCAGTAGCCGTTGTATATTGTAATAATTAGTGCTAGTATGAGATAATTCAACAAATGCGCCTAAAATCGTCTAAGTTGCAAATTAATCATCTAAATAATCAAGTGTCTTTTTCATATTTTCCATCCACTCCTAAAGGATTCATATATAACAATTGTAGGCTGGAATCTATAACATTTATAACCTTTAATTTTTTAAAAGCAAAAAAAAATCGTTACGTAATCATACAAAATAGACATACATTTTACAATTATTATAACTAAAAACAGGCAAGCTTAAAACAGGTAAGTTCCGTCGGAACTCACCTTTGGAAGGTCTGAGGAAGAGACAGAGGCGTAGCGACCCTTCCCTTCCCGGCGCACGGGGACAAACTTTCGATTTGCACCCCCCCCCCTCGAACTTTTCATTTGCACACCCCCCCTCAAACTTTCGATTTGCACCCCCCCCTCGAACTTTTCATTTGCACCCCCTCAAACTTTCAATTTGGGCCCCCCCCCCCCTAAGGTCGGCGCCCGGGGACATATGCCCCCGCCCCTCCCCCCCTCGCTACGCCTTTTGGAAGAGACAAACACTATATGAACTGTGTTTTCGTCAGTGTTTTTATCCATACTTTTTTTCCCGGGAGGGAGGGGGGAAGCACTTGGAAATTTTATAAGGGGGGGGGGGGCTATGTCGTAAAGTACAAAAAAGACTCGTCACAATTTCAATAGAATGTGATTACGCTTGCAAACTTGAATTGAAGGAATTAGTACAAACTTTTGCGACGAAAAAGGCAAGTAAAGTTCGATTTTTGATGTCTACTTATGACGAGTCCAGAGGCGTGGCTAGTGGAGGGCGGGTGGGGCGGCCGCTCAGAGCGCCGACCTTACGGGGGCGCCAAACTAGGAAGAAAATACAATAACAAGCTTATTCTAAGCTGCATTACAGTCGTATTTAAGAAAATAGAAAGCCATTTGGTTCTATGGACGGCTATCTACGATGCTTGTGTGATACGGGAAAAACTATTAAAGGTGAATGATGTGTGTGTTTGTGTGTGTAGTGGTGGGGGGGGTCCTTTTTCGCGAACGTGAATAAATATATAAATATGTGGGAGGGGGGGGGGGCGCAAAATCGATAGTTTGCTCAGGGAGCAGAAATGGGTTGCTACGCCTCTGGACGAGTATGCCATTGATAATAAATTAATATGTCACTTTTAATTAATTGTTTTCTTATATATAGTAAGTAATTTAAGAGATTGGGGCGTTTTAATAAGTTGTGGCTAGGGCGCTAAATAACCTGGCGCCGGCTCTGACAGTAAACGGTCTATTTCAGGAGAGCCGGATGGTGCAAGACAGTTCATCGCTCGCTACAAAGTTTGGCTAGGCGGCGAGTGTGGCGGCCGGTTTGTGAGGGAAATTTGCATTCTGACAACAAGTGAGTCGGTGGCTTATTTAGTATCGAAGCACATCACCCCCACCCCCCACCCCCATCCACCAGGAATGAACTAGAATGTAGGCTTATATAGAAAATAAATAATTTTAACACTGTTCACTCCCTTCGAACAAAATAGAAAACAAATTGAAATTTTAAAATATATACTTTAACCAGTGTCCGCACCCCCCCCCCCCAACCCATCTTAACGTTAAGTGCAATCCCCCCTAATTTAAAATTAGGATCATGATCAAAGCCCAAACCAAGTATGGCGTGAGATGACGGTTAGGGTTAGGGACAAGCATAGCTTAGTTACATAAGATATGACGGAGTTCAGCCAAAGTTTACAGCATGCCATGAATGGAGCCTTGTTGACTAAGGAGTCCTAAAGCAAGACATTAGGGGACTCGAGTCTCGCATTAGAATCTAGGTCCGGACTCGAGACTGCAGGACCTCCCTGAGTCCACCCAGCTCTATTAAGTACCTTACTCGTGTTAGGGAAAGTAAGGCTGCTTAGCATAATGCTTTCTATGGGTGGCTGACAGTGTTTCTTTCAGGCATCTCTTCAATGGGGGGGGGGGGGGACAACCCCCCTCTCCAACCCTCTATAATTCATAAAGAAAATATATATATATTTATATCAATGTTCGCCCCCCCCCAAAGTTTTAAGTGCACCCCCCCACCCGATAAAAGGGCTAAAAGAAACACTGGTTCTGAAGGGGGAACTTATATTTTTAAAGTATGACATTAAAAAAAATAATGTTAAGTACACAAATAACTACATTAAACTTATTAACTACAGAAATTTTATTTCAGGTGACTTGCCTCGACTAGCCCAAGCCAAAGAGCTATTCGCCAACAAATTTTTCCTGAATGAGGACAGGCTGGTGATTGGCTGTCTGGAGGAGAAAATCTTTAACGACACACGGGATGAGTACCTGGGGGTCAAAGGTCTCAACACCAGCTTCTACAGCTCGCTGGATTACGTCACGAATCAAATCACGTGAAGCATGCGAGTGGGGGGGGGGGGGTACACACGTTACTGTAAAGATGCAGATAATAGCTGTATCCAAAAACCAAAACATAGTCTTAGGCTCCAGAAAATGATGTTTTATAACAATGCTTTATAAAATGGCTAAAATCATGAGAAGCACTTAGATGGATCACTACAGACCCGCTGTGTATCTTAACACAGCAATAAGGCCTCATTCTGCTTCTGTATCAAAAAACTAAATCATAGTCTGAGTTTACATAAGCTCCAGAAGAGAATTCTTAATAACAATGCTGTATAAAAATTCTAAAATTATGGAAAGCTCTCGGATTGATCTTTAGAGAACAGCCATTTATCTTTACACATCAATGGCAATAACGCCGCATTCTGTTTCTGAAAGATAAATTTGGCTAATCTTCAGTCTGAGATTTTTCGAGATTTATATAGAGACTGATCGGGACGTGTGTTTTCTTACACACCATCATATTCGACAGCTTAAGCGTTTATTTTTAATGATTCTGCTATTTTGGATAAGTGATAGATTTGAGAAACTATAAGCACTAAAAATTATTTTTTTTTAATTACAGATATAAATACTTATTATTTTTAATATATTGATCTTATCCTCTGTTGCCTTAACTATAGGAACCTTCCATGAAGTGCCTTTCGCATCTGATTTGAATGTTTTCAGAAAAAAAAAATACGACTAATCGCTTGAATCTTATATCAGCCTCAGACAATGAAAATAAAAGTATGACAAGAAAACAGGAAAACAAAACGCACAAGACAATTGACAAATTTAATACCATTGTTCAAATTATTACGCTGATGAAGAAGACGATGCTGAATATAGCCCGACCTAATTGGAAATCCTTCGATTATCACCAGGGAGGTATTAAAAAGTTAAAGTTAAATAACTTTCTTGACTTGGTCCTGCTTGCTCCCTGTGGAGCTTGGGGCGTCAACCACAATATTTCACTTTGCCCGGTCCCCGGCTGTGTATTTTGCAGCACCCCAAGACACCCCTGCGGCCTTTAGTTCTTTTCGTGAAGACACCGCCTCCTGTTCCGTCTTGGGCGCCCTCTCTTCCACCTCCAGCCAAGCACCTGGCGTTCAGTGATTCTTCCAGACTTTTTTCTCGGGGGGGGGGGGGGGGCGTACACTGTCAGAAGTATATATTTTCTGTATAAGTTTCATTTCGTTCGGGGGGGGGGGGTAGACTTTCTTCGTTCCCTCCAACCCCCGAAGAGATGCCTGGAAGAAAAGCTGCTGGTGTATCACATATTATGGTTGCACATTTCGGAATCTGTGTTCCACCCAGCACCTATTCCTCCAACTTATCTGTAATGTCACGGGTTCCTGTCTCACCAATTCTATGTTCGGCACTTTAAAGAAAGTTAAATAAGGTAGGCAAAAAGTAATGCAAGAAACTTCCAAGGTGGGTCGCACACGAAGCCAGCTCAAGAGAATTGAAAAGGGGAGATAACTAGATATTTAGTCCATTTCCCACCAGGGATGATTGTATAAAAATTTTAAGAATTGCACCAAACGATATAATGCAATCTTCACTGGATCTTAAGGGAAATCGTCATACAAGACGTCACACTCCTAAAGGGATAAGACGTCACACTCATAGAGAGATAAGACGTCACACTACATAAGGGTTAAGACGTCACACTACTAAATGGATAAGATGTCACGCTCTTTAAGGGATAAGACGTCACACTACTAAAGGTATAAGGCGTCACACGTCACACTCCTAAATGGCAAGGGGGGGGGCTACGACTTTTGTGACGATGTTTCGAGGCGAGGGGGGGGGGGGGGGATTTTAAAAAATGAAACCAGACGACAGCCTTTAACATTTTAAAAAGTAATGATTAAAAGCAAATTTCATTTCGCGTTTTATGAATATTTTATGTGTTAACTGTATTATAATTTTTTGATACATTTATTCAATGTTGACTGCTTAAAATATATTTTTTTAAAATTCGCTGTTTATTAAACAAACAAAAAATTACCATTTTGATGTCGGATGTTGTTGTGGGGGGGGGGGGGGAGAGAGAAAGAGTGTGGCATTTTGTAACGCTGTGAGTCGGTAGGGCAGTGTTGAGTTGAGAATCGTTGAAAAAAAAACGTGAATGCGCATATGAAACTGATGGGGTTCGGTACCTCTAAAAAGGTTTAGAACCACTGCTGTAATGGCAGTGTGCCTTTTAGAACTGTCGAGCTTTTGCGTTTTTCGATTAGCCTATTAATTGTTCATTTGTCATATCTTTGTTGACCGTAGAAACATTGCCATGTGTTGGTTAAAGACGGTCAATGGGGCAGGTGAAGTTTACTTGAGTTCACCTGTTTTAGGGACATAGACACGTGAAAGGATAATGTTAAACTACAGTGTTCATGTTTAAATGTAAAAGTTAAAGTAAAAAAGTAAAGTTCCCCTTCCAAACCAGTGGGGCAAGTGAAGTAGAGTTCACCTGTTTCCGTGACCTCGGCATATAAAGAGATAATGTGGTCAGCACTATGCCCAGCCGCCTTTACTTTTCTTTAACATGAGTTAGGTGCCAATCAGAGCTGTGCGGACTCAGGGATGATCTACTGGCTTGAACCTGGATTCTCCACCGCTAGGCTACTCCGTCCCAAAGATTGTTACTTGAAATAAACATTATTTGGTGAAACCTTTTTTTTAAAGTATAAAATAGTTAGGATAGATGTTAAATCTTAAATCACAATTTTAAATGTTTAATTAGTTAGGTAAAATAAACGAATGATAATTTATGTGAGAACTTGTGCATGTATTCTTTGAAAAATAACTATTTTATTTATATTGTGTAAATAAAGATAAATTGGCAATGTCGGTGTAGTGTCAAGTTTATGTAACGATGCGTTACTATCACATAGCTTATATCACCTTATAGTTTCATTAATCAACCAGTGTCGAAGCTACCGTAAAGCTAGCGCAACCAAGGCATAGGAGTACAATGGATATAGGGGCCCTTTTCCCTCTTAAAAAAAAATTTAAAACGTTTTCATTGGAATTTTAATATTTTTTTAATGTAAATAATTTTTAAAAGAAAAAGGTTAAAAGTTCCAAAAAAGACGCCAGTTCTTTCTAACTGTACAGGCAGTGGGATTCAGGAGGGGGGGGGGAGGTCGAATAGGGCCCAGACGTAATGATAACACAACAGGCTTTGTCGTGCAAGCAGAGCCGGCGTTAGGAATACGCGGGGCCTAGGGCCAACCATCCGCGCGGGGCCTTTCCATTATATATATATATATTATATATATATATATATATATATATATATATATATATATATATATATATATATATATATATATATATATGTATATATATATATGTATAAAGGCCTATATAATGTGATGTACACATAATAACACAAATGTTTTGGAGTTTATAAGCTAATGTCAAACTTTCCACTATAATAACCGATGTTTATCTCTCCCATGTATTAACCCAATGTTCGTAGTTTTTTTTTCCTTTGCTTAGATATTAAATCACTTTTGACAGTTATGTAATTCATACCAAATCACTTAAGAAAATTTAATCACGTGCCGAATAATTAGGAAAATAAAGTTTACAATACAGCGAACTCGGCCTGATGTATCAAAACAGTATAGACTTCAAAATTTGTTTAGAATTCATACAATATTTTAAAACCAAAAACATTATTGTCTTAATTATTGAACGGGTGAATCCTTAAGGTGACACAACATAACAACAGTTTTAACTTTCTTCCAAAAAATAATAATAATTCACTCTGTTTAATGCCGCCTGATATAGATCCTAAGCCCCCCCCCCCCTCGCAGAGGCGTAGCGACCCTTCCCGGCGCCCGGGGACATACTTTCAATTTGGCGCCCCCCTCGGGAGCAAATTTTCGATTTGCACACCCCCCCTCGAACTTTTCATTTGCACCCCCCCCCTCGAACTTTTCATTTGCACCCCCCCCCCCTCGAACTTTTCATTTGCACCCCCCCCCTCAAATTTTCGATTTGCACCCCCCCCTCGAACTTTCGATTTGCACCCCCCCTCGAACTTTTCATTTGCACCCCCCCCCTCAAATTTTCAATTTGGCGCCCCCCCTAAGGTCGGCGCCCGGGGACATATGTCCCCCCCCCCCCGCCCCCCCCCTCGCTACGCCTCTGCCCCCTTGTCGCCCTCCTCCCACCCTCTGCACGCAACTGAATGTTAACTTTGTTATACCAAGACAAGTATGCCTACATATAGTCTCTTCCAGACATCTCTTCGGGAAAAATCTACCGCCCCCCCCCCCCCCCGAAAATATCAAGTGCCCCTCCCCCCCTGGAGAAAAAAGTCTGGAAGAAACACTTTACATATACGACATTATACGACATCTACAACAAGAAAGTCAGGACTAGAGTTCATCAGGTCACTAACTGTCTACTACAGACATCCCGTCTGCTCACTAAAAGGACGTCTTCATGGGTCCGCATACAATAGGGTATCTCTTTACGTCGTGGGCTAATTCTCGACCGCCATCTCCAGTCAGCTCAGGTCAAATGCCAGGCGACCGTACCCTACACAAAGGGAAGGCGTGACACTAATTTTGTATCGAATTACGGCCTGTCCCAGTTCAGGTGGGACTCACCAACATCAACCGTGGCCTCAGTTATAACAATCAACAACGTCGGCATTCGACCATTTAGTTTTTCCCAATTGAATTCAGCAACAATTTTTTTAAGTTTACAAACTTATTCAGATAACAATGACATTGCTGAAGCGCGGGGCCCCTTCAAGCGCGGGGCCTATGGCGACCGCCCCGTTCGCCACCCCCTAACGCCGGCTCTGCGTGCAAGACATTGAGATAATTAGCCTCGAAATAATCTTGAACTTTGACTTGCAAGTTTTAAAACAACGCTAAAAACCTCAACCGACTGGGAACCCCCCCCCCCCCCACACACACACACACGCACGCACGCAGACCTGGACCTTCGTCCCAACTGTCTGCCCTCCCCGAAATTCCATCCTACTAAACACCATTGATAACAACAGAACCATTTTTTTAAAAAAAAAAAACATTATCAACCGCGGACAGTGTTTTCACAACAATCGAAGTCCAACATTTCAGCAATGTTTTTCTACTAATTATTACCTTAATGACATTTCATTTTTTTTTTAAATCTGATTAATCTTTAATGAATATGGCACTACTAACACCATCATTTTTTGTTTTTTTTTTAATCCAATCTCCAAGAAACTTTGGAAAGTCGTTGATACTACTACAGGCTGTGTTTTTATTCCAGACATTTTTCTGAAAAGGTGCACGCAGAGGCGATCAAGGGGGGGGGGGGGTGGCGAGGGGGGGGTCATATGCCCCCGGGCGCCGACCTTAATGTGCGCCAAAATGGGTTGGAAAAAAATTAAAATATCATTTTAGATGCAGTTTTGCATTATAAATATAAAAAATATATGGGAGGATTGGGAGGAGGTGCAAATTGAAAGTTTGGGGAGGGGGGGGTGCATATTGAAAGTTTGAGGGGATCCAAATTGAAAATTGAAAGGTTGTTCCCGAGGGGGCGCCAAATTGAAAGTTTGTCACCAGGCGCCAGGAATGGTCGCTATAATACGCCTCTGGGTGCACGAGAGAAACCCAGGCATCTCTTCGGGTGGCGGACACAATTTTCTATATAAATTCCATTTCGTTCGGGGGGGGGGGGCTCAGTCCCCTTGATAAGATGTCTAGAAGAAAGTCTGGCATCATTAAGATTTTTGATTAGGGCCTTAACCTTAACCTTAGACATAATCTAACTCTAACACTCCCGAGAATAAGATTTCTACTAATCTTCCACATTCGTCTCCGAATAATGTTTAGTCTGTAGATTTAGATCTAAATCTAGATGTCTATACGAGAAATAAAATCAAGCATGTGCGTGATTTTGTAAATAGCAATAGATCTAGATCTAGATATCTACTAATCGTCACATGAAAGTTTTTCATCGTTGCGAAATATTCATTAAAATTACAAGCCTATGCTTCGATCCAAATTTAGCTCAGCCTTTGAAAACTTTACCTCAGAAGATCGTAGAACAGGAGCAAACAAATGATTCATAATCTGCTGAGGTTTTACTTAGTAATCTGATTGCTGCATAAACTATAAATACGACTATTTTTATAGAATAAAGTTCGAAACCAGCCAGATCTACCTACAAGCACTGTCTTACACATTAACACTAAGATTTGTTTTACCATCTAAATTAGAAAGGTAAGACATTTTAATAAATTTCATTAGAGGGTTAGGCGGTTATACTACCGTCGGTTATACGTTATACTCCATGACTCCATGACCATGATTCAATAGTCCATCGGCCATACGACTCCATAGAATCTAGATCTAGATACTATTATTATATTAGATAGGCATAGGCCTTGCCCTTCTCATCTGGCCTTCTTAGTTTCTAGAATCTAGATCTAGTAGTTAGTAAGTATAGTATAGTTACAGTATAGTAGTTAGTAGTTAGCCTTAGCCCTTTTTTTAGGTTAGGCCTTGGCTTTTCCCCTTTGTTAGTAGATCTAATTAATTAGTAATTACTGTATTACTGTATTAGGCGCCTTGCCTTAGTTACATAGTTAGGGCCTTTAGGCCTTTATTTAGGGCATGTTATTCTTTGTGTTGTTTTATTAGCCATGTAAAGTTTGTTAGCCTGTACAGTGTACTGAGCTGTATTGTATCTTATCTAGATTCCAGAGTGAATATGGAACAGTTAAATGTAGAGATCTAAGTAGTAGTTAATAGTTAATATTATAGTAGAATCGGATGATTTGGTCGATGTCCAAAAATGGGTGTTGTTGTAGGTTTCTAGTGGTGATCTGGAATGAATGGTAATTTCATAAAGTTCTATGGATAGAAATTAGGGTTAGAGGCATATGGTAGGACTAGGGTTGGGGTATTTTGTTAACCAGCAGTAGAGTACTTATTATTTCATTGAAGATCTAAATATTTTTTTTTTGACAGTATCCTGAGGATTTAACCATGTCTCAGCAACCATATCCATCAGCAGGGACATACCCTCCACCAGGAGGCCCACCACCCCCATATTCAGACTCCTCTCAGAATCCCATGCAGCCTGATCCTGCTACACCACAAGCCTCTGCTGCCTCCTCCAACACTCATGTTGTAAGTTTCAACTAAGTATCCTCACTACTTGAACTTTTATAAACATGTTATAGTGGTAGGGTTGCCAGGTGTCCAGTTTTGAACTGGACAGTCCAGTATTTGAGCAGACTGTCCAGGATAAAATAAATATAAATATTGGACAAGTATATGAATAATACTCTGTTATCCCCCTTCTTCTGCTTTGCGGCATACCTGAGAAGGGAAGGATGGAAAGGTGTCCAGTATTTTCGGAAAAGGTATCTGGCAACCCTATATAGTGGTTATAGGCTTGGGCTTATTATTTTTTCCCAGCTTAGCTGTAAAGCTTTTTGGTAATTAAAGTACTAATTTTGTTTTAAGCATGCCAATATATTAGGAAAACTCGCTTAGCTTATAAAAATACTTCAGATCTATGAACTTAAAATACAGGTTTATTTTCTAATTTTTAAAAAAGTATCTATAGGCCTATCTTGGGACTGAGTGGCCTAGTGGTAGAGGGTTAGACTGCTAACCAGAAAGTCTAGAGTTCAAATCCAGGTTCATGTTAGTAGAACGTCTCTGAGTCCACCCAGCTCTGATGGGTACTTTACTCACGTCGGGGAAAGTAAATGCAGCTGGACATAGTGCTGACCACACTATCTCTTCCTATTCCTAGTTCATGGAGACAGGTGAACTCTACTTCACTTGCCCCATAGACCGTCAGGTTTGAAAGGGAACTTAAATTAGGCCTATCTTGACATAGCCTACATGAGAATTAGGTGTGGCTGAAAAGAAATAAAATTTTATCAGAAATTGTAACGCTGTAGTTCTTGCTAGCTAGAAAGTTGTTTTTTTTTATCTATTCTCACTCATTGATTTCCTAACTTCAGTTTACTGATTGATTCTCAAACTTCTTTATCAGATAGACATTTTACGGTTCAGTTTTCTTATAAGTTATGGTTAAACTGCCAACTTGATTTATATTTTTAGGATTGCTCACAAATACTTACCTTGTCAAGTGTTACTGGTTGAAATAGAAACTCTTTAATTATAATTACCTTTCATTTCACTCAGACTCACGACAAAGTAAATACAAAACAAGAACAGCCCAAAGAAAAGGTAAGCAATTACATATGTATTCAAATAGGTTTACCGTCACTGTATTTTTATATCTAATAAATCACAATTGTAGTGACAACATTGTTCAAGCCTGGTAAATATTTGATGTCTTTTTTATTTTTCTTGGGTTAAACAAAATGAATAACTTCATTATTTAATATCATTAGTTTACATTCTATTTTAAATGTATCCAGATTAAAAATGTTTTTGGTGCTATAAAAACTGAGGTTGAAAACTTTACTGTAAGTCTTGTTCTATAGATCTGTCCTGTTGATTGGTTCACTGTATTTTTTTTTTTTTTTTTTATTAGTTGTTTCTTTATTAATATTAATGTTTCAATTTACAGTTCTTTTAGAGTTTTGACTAAGTTTGAGTTCATATGTTTTGTTTTTCTTGTATTGCAATAGATTTTTCTGTGTTAAATTGAGAGGTGAAATTACCTTTTTGTAACTATATGTTTATGTAATTGCTTGTTTCACTAAATTTTTAGTCTATAATACTGCATTGTTTACAGAATTCACATAGAATTAACCCTTTGAGCCCTGGCCTCCCTGACCTAATTTCTCCTATTTCCTGAGCTCCCAGGCCCAAACCGATTTCACTTATCTGCTTCTAACTTTGCCTATAACTTTAGAACCGTTTGAGATAATCAAGCCAAATTTGGTATCCAGACTCAGGATCAAACAACAATGCAGCAAGATTCTAAAACTCCTTATTTTTTTAACAATGTTTGAACAGAACAATGTATATAAAACGAACACATAATTATTGTTTTGATAGAACATAGAAGAAACCAATTTACATTTAGTAATTGTTTTGTTATTATTGATACCTGGCCATACTAGTTCAACACTAGAAGTCCACTTTTGTGTGATAACTTTCAAAACAGTTATCACTGCCGGACCTGATGCAAAGAAAAAATTCGCATTTTTTGCACCATAAACATTTTTTTTTCGTTTCGGCAAGTCTTTGTCCTTGACACCACGTGCATCAGAACGTACTTGAACAGTTTCATTGTCACTGTCAATTTCAATGTCACTGTGTTCAGTCTCAAATTTAACGTCACTATCATCACAATATAGACCAGGAATATTATCTTCTTCATCAGAATCAATAAGTAGTTGTATTGCCTGAGATGCAGTCATTCTACTTCTTTTGTTGATATGTCGGTCTTTTGCTTCATCTTTTGCACCAACTTTATGTGATGAAGCCGACGGCTGTGGCTCAGCTTTTCGTTTCGGCGGCATTGCTACGAAATGTAAACACTTTCACTTTTCCTAAAAATCAATTTTTAAAATCATAATCCCGCACTCAAAAGACATATGCGCAGTTTTAGTCAGTCTTCCGCTAATTATATTTAATTAACGGTATATCGGCCGCTAGGAATATGACGCTAGATCATCGGGCCGGAAAACCGGCTTTTCGGACATATATGCCTAATGTTGAAGCCGGTTTACCGGCCTGGCGGGCTCAAAGGGTTAATTTTATGACTACTTAGATACATAGACTACATAGGAAATAGGTATGGCTAAACCTCCCTCTAACCGTAACATGTGGTATTGCGTTGATAATGTAGGTACAGATACCTGGAGGGAACCTTTTTTTTCTTTAATATGTTTTTATACCCCTTTGTTTAATACCTCACCAGAAAGGCGGCTTTTATACCCCTTTGTTTTATACCTCACCAGAAAGGCGGCTTCTTCTCCAACTTAAAGAAAGAAGCTGAAAAGGTGGGGAAGCAGCTGGGCCATGAGCTGGACAAGGCAGGGAAAACTATCAATGATGCTGTGGACAGGAACTACCAGTCTGCTCTCTTGGTGAGTTGTGGCTTGACTTGTATTTGCTTTAGACAACTTGAACAGTACTTCTATGGTATGTTATGACTTAAGGTCTCTTTGCTTTAGACAACTTGAACAGTACTTCTATGGTATTTTGTGACTTTAGACAACCAACCTATGTGTTGCTTTAGACAACTTAACATGTACTTCAAGGATTGTCTGCAAGATAATTCACTATTACCCCATTGTTTGTTTTTTCTAGTATTGATCCTATAACTTCAATACTGTCATGCAGGCATTATTAGAAGTAACAATTTCACTAAATAAATTAAATCTTAAAAGTAGCTGAATTAGCCAGTTTCACTTCATTAAATCTAAGTCAGTATTTTAGTAAGTCTTATTATGAATTGTCAATGCTATTTTAATGTACTTTTATCACAGTTAATGCTTGGATATAAATGATTCAGAAAGCTTTGAAATATGATATAATTATCTTTGTGTAGAAAGTTATTATTGAAGTAAAATTGTGACTGTATAAAACTGATATCCTACTTTAAAAGTTAAAACTATAAAAAAAAAAATTATATAATATTACATTCTAAAAATTTATTGTTTCTTCTAGGACCTGTTCAAGAATGGCAACGTAGTTCAGCTTGTCTCTAGGGTAACAGGGAGGACTTTACAAATCGTGATAAGTTCTACAGGCCAAATGGTGCTGGATGCTAATGGCCCACTGGATCCTAATGCATTTAACAGTGAGTTTACCACAATATCATCTCCTGCTTTTATCATCATCCAGGGTAACCTTATGTCCACTAAACACAACTATGATACAAAACAATTTATGTAAACTTGTAAAGTAAAAAAAAAAAGTAAAGTTTTCCTTTCAAACCTGATGGTCTATGGGGCAAGTGAAGTAGAGTTCACTTGTTTCTGTGACCTCGGCATAAGAAGAGATAGTGTGGTCAGCACTATGCCCAGCCGCCTTTACTTTCCCTAACGTGAGTTAGGTACCCATCAGGGTTGGGTGGACTCAGGGACGGTCTACTGGCTTGAACCCGGATTCGAACTCAAGATTTACAGGATAGCAGTCCAGCTCTCTACTGCTAGGCCACTCCGTCCCATATTATTTATGTAAACTTGTTGTAGATTTTATGTATTGTTTTTTTTTTTTTTTGCGCATTTGCATTTGCCAAAAAGTTGTCAGTTATTTAGGCTGGGAAGTCAAATGTTTAATGGTTTTTGGCTGCCTTGTTTATCTAATAAATATGTATATGTAATTTTAACAAAAGTATATTAATTTTTTAACAAGATTAGAAATTATGCTGTAGTAAATCTTTTATGCAATCTTAAATTAGTCTTGAAATTATTTTTTAAACGTATATCTTTGTCTTATGTCCTTATTACTTACAAATTGTTAAACTTACTTATAAAGGTATAGGTAGTTGCTTCAGTTTTATTAATTATTTTAATTAATTATTTAAATTGTTTTTACTTTATTCCAGCCCTCTGGACTGTAACAAATGAAGGGAGCAATCAAGTTCGCCTGCACAATTACCAAAATTACATTACAGTTATAGATGGTGAAACTGTAATCAGAACTTATGTAGGTATTTGATTACTTTTTAGGTTTGATTTAAAGTATTAGAGTGTTTTTATCTAGACAGATAATGAATATTCCTTATAATCTTCTTTGGTTTCATTATAATCTTCTTTGGTTTCCTTATAATCTTCTTTGGTTTCCTTATAATCTTCTTTGGTCTGTTTTTCTATACTTAGGCCTAAACTCTCTGATTTTTAAGGTTTTTTTTCTACACGTTAACTAATGACAAACATTGTCATTCTTTAAAAAGATATTTTCTCTTTTTAACGGCAAACATTGTCTTTCTTTAAAAAGATATTTTCTCTTTTTAACGACAAACATTGTCTTTCTTTAAAAAGATATTTTCTCCTTATGTTTTACAGAGGGCTAACCTTTTCAAATGTTTATTTCTATAAAAGTTTAGATGTCCTACTGAAGAAATGTTGATGTCCTGCTCTTTAGTTTTTTTTTCATTTCCTACCTAGCCTAACTTTATTTTCTCCTGTTCATGCCTCACTGTTCACGTCTCACTGTTCATGTCTCACTGTTCATGTCTCACTGTTCATGTCTCACTGTTCATGTCTCACTGTTCATGTCTCACTGTTCATGTCTCACTGTTCATGTCTCACTGTTCACGTCTCACTGTTCACGTCTCACTGTTCACGTCTCACTGTTCACGTCTCACTGTTCATGTCTCACTGTTCACGTCTCACTGTTCACGTCTCACTGTTCACGTCTCACTGTTCATGTCTCACTGTTCATGTCTCACTGTTCACGTCTCACTGTTCACGTCTCACTGTTCACGTCTCACTGTTCACGTCTCACTGTTCACGTCTCACTGTTCACGTCTCACTGTTCATGTCTCACTGTTCATGTCTCACTGTTCATGTCTCACTGTTCACGTCTCACTGTTCACGTCTCACTGTTCACGTCTCACTGTTCACGTCTCACTGTTCACGTCTCACTGTTCACGTCTCACTGTTCACGTCTCACTGTTCACGTCTCACTGTTCACGTCTCACTGTTCACGTCTCACTGTTCACGTCTCACTGTTCACGTCTCACTGTTCACGTCTCACTGTTCACGTCTCACTGTTCACGTCTCACTGTTCACGTCTCACTGTTCACGTCTCACTGTTCACGTCTCACTGTTCACGTCTCACTGTTCACGTCTCACTGTTCACGTCTCACTGTTCATGTCTCACTGTTCATGTCTCACTGCTCATGTCTCACTGCTGTACTCCCTGTTCATGTCTCACTGTTCATGTCTCACTGTTCATGTCTCACTGTTCATGTCTCACTGTTCATGTCTCACTGTTCATGTCTCACTGCTCATGTCTCACTGCTGTACTCCCCAGCCTCCTGGAACAGCTACTGGCCCGGAGACCAAGTTCCAGCTCAGCCAGATCCACCAGCAGTTTGTCATGCTGGAGTCTCTGAAGGAGAAGAACAGACATGTGGGCTTCATGCCTTCAGGGGAGCTAAAGCCTGCGCTGGCTACCATCAAAGAGCCCAGCTCACAGTTGGGAGTCAAGCTTGTGGTGAGTTATCTACCTTTGATTGTCAATCATTACTCTGTCTCATTAGTCTGTTAAAGTCATGACCTGACTCAAAAAGAGGTAAGGGATGGGGGTGTCAGGCTGATATAGATTAATGTTTTACTTTCTTGGAAATTACAAAATTTCTAGTTGTTGAAAATAATTCCTAAAACAACAGAATGGAAAGTAAACTTCATCAATTTATACATGTTTGACTATGCAAGTAAATGACTTATCCGGTTTTTAATGACAGCAAATAATCTTTTTATACAATGTCTCTCAACAGTGTGCTAAGGCAAGGTACTGACTTACCATGCAAATAAGTCTTTGCTAGACAATTTTCATTTTTCATGAAAATATGTTTTCACTCAAATTATTAGTGTGATAAAACAAACATCAATTCATTGCATAATTTTGGACATTACATTAAACTTTTAGTTGTCATATTATACACTTTTTTTTATATTGGTTGAAATTACATGATATCCTTTAGACAACCAATCCAATTTTATATATTATAGCTATATTTTACTGATGAAACCTTTTTTTCCCTTTCAGTCAACTCCCTACCCAGTAATAACACCAGTGGCCACCAGCAAACCAAAGTAATTTGTCAACTAAACCAGAGGAAATTGTGTGGCATGCATTTAGTGAATCTTTAGGTTAATGATCTAAATATAGCCATTTACTACTATTATTTGTTAGTTACAGTAGGTTATTAGGCATCTTACATCAACTCTGAAAGAAAAAATACTTTTATAACATTTTAATAATTTTAAAATTCTTTAAAATTTGATAGTTACAGTATTTTATCAGTTGGCAGCATACCTTAACTCTGCCTCTGAAAACAAAAAATTCTGTCTTTTTATCAACATATAAAAACTTTAAAATTCTAATAGATCTTAATTTTAAAAGTATTCATATATTTTTAAATAACATTTTTTTCAATAAAAAGTTTCAGAGATAACAAAATACAGCTTTTATTACTAAATATTTTATTACACAAAAGGCTTTTGTCTCAACAAAGTTTGCCAACACATCTAAGGCCTTTATAATTTAAAAATGTAAAAGTTGCCCTTAAGCGAGTGAGATAACTATTATTTTAGTTCTTTTTCGATAATTTATCTTCATTCTGTTTCATCAAAGATCAAATTTGAGATTTCAAACTTAAGAAAATAATAATTTTGAAAAGTTGAGCTTAGCAAACTATAATATTAGTTCTTTAGGGTATTTTTTGTTCCAGCAGTGATATCCAGAATCCAATTTCAGGTTTCAAACTTAAGAAAATAATTCACAACTTTTTAATACAGTTTTTGTATTTCCAGTGTGAAGATTTAAGCCCTAGATAGCCTACCAGTTATCATAGTATTAATCATAAAATGTCTTGCCTTTTTGTGTTCCTTGCTGTGTTTTGCAATAAACCAAAGTGGTGCTGAAATAATATATTTATTGATATACTCCTTGATTGTATAGTGAACATTTTCATATATTTGGAGTGAATTTTATATCTTTAATATTTTGAAGAACTTTCTACAATCCTCTAAACTTTCTGGACAGGATAATGAATTTGCAGTCAATAATTCAACTATTTCTCTTTGCATTTAAAATTTATTAAAATCAGGCTTTTATGATCGATACTAATTTTGTATTTATTTACATTTTTTTCCAGCTAAATTTGCATTTTTACTGTATTTTTGTTTTTTAATTTATTCTTATAATTAATCGCGTTAGAATAGACAAATATTCTCCTAGGTAGTTAATATTTAGTGTTTCTAGTCTTTATTTATGAATGGACAGCCAGAGTTATGCCAAATTGTATTGTAATTTGAATTCATACCAAATATAAAAGCAAATTTATGAGGAACAATTCAAGATGTGGCTGTTATGTTATACGATGCCTGAACAAAGTGAAGATTTATTCAAATTGAGTGCCAGCACATATGTTATAGTTTTATCTTTAACAGTTGATTATATTAGTTTTGTTGTCATTTTAAAATATAAAATATGTTTTAAAAACATAGTAAACCTGGAAAGCCAAGCTATTCTGAATGAACTAAGGTGTTACAAAAATACTGTATAAACTTAAAAAAAGTAAATCTGAAACTTTCAGACCTTTGAAAATTAATTAAACAAGTTAATTAATAAGTAATCATTTATTTTAAATTTTATATTATGTTATAGTAATTTTTCCAGTAACTTACTTTTTTCAAAAAGCTACATAATTAATACAGAGGCTTATGATTTATTATTTTATATTGACTCATTTAACCATGCAAATTAAAAACTTTATTTAACCATTTCCATTTTTCATTTCATTGTGCCTTTGTATTATAATTTTTAAAATTCTAGTTCATTTTTAGTTATAATTATAAACCTTCTCAGTTTTCCTTTTCCTGTTAAAATTTCTTCTTGGGCTACTTACCAAGTCTGTATACTGAAGTTAAAAGTATTTAATTACTGTTTTAATTGACTAGTGAAATTGTAATTAGGATCAATGATACATTTTTTAAAATTCTCTCAAATCTTTAAAATATGTGTAAGTTAAATATAAATTATATTCCCTTTTAATATATTTGAAGTTAAATTTTCATATAACAACAAAGTTTATTAAACAGTTGAATTTGTAATGATATATTAAAATTGCTTCTTTTTAGTTTCTTTTTTTACTTTTTATATACAAAAAACAACTAACTTTTAAAACCTTTAAAGTAAAGTTGTTGTTTTTTTTTTTCATTTTTTTTTTTTAAAATTTGAAGTTTAGATTCACTAAAGTACCTCTGTAACCTTTGTTTCATATCTGTGATAGATAGCCTTTAATTTTTAACCCACTCAGGGGGTGATAAATCTGCATCCTATATACTTTACTATGACCTTTTCTTAGTAATGAGCTAAACTTGATATTTTAACATCCCATGGTTAAAATATTCTCCACATTTTTCTATCCAAATGCATGTTTGACTGCTATATTTATATGCTATAAAAAGTAATCTAATTTATGTTTTACTGATCTGTTACTCAAATAAATACACTTGTATGAATAATTGGTGATGTTGTTCTTCATTTAAATTGTGATGAATATTTATTTACACGGGAGAACAAAAGATCTTGCAATGTTTGATACACCGAGTTCTACAGTACAAACCTAATAGTTGAATAACAACAATGGAGGCGTCATTAAATAAAATCACAAGTGCTAGGGGAGGGGAGATAACAGTGTAAACATCCAACTAAAGCATTTTTAAAGGGATTTCTGTTGTTTAAATAAAACAGTTCTTTGTAGTTGGATTACGTTTATTGAGAATGCAAATTGTAATAGAAATGACCACCATATTTCGGGCGCATTTCATTACGGGGAGTAAAAATCTTCCCAAAAAGTGTGACGTCAATTTTTTGGTCGATACCATGTGGAGGATGGACTGGCCCTGTCCTAATAGCCTGGGAAATAAATAAAAGCGGCCCCCTTTAGCAGTGCATTTTCCCCCATCCATTAAGTCACGCTGTCCCTACACAAAATTGTAGTGTATTAGTATAATAACTTTGTATTTGTGCATTTTTCTGTTTGCGTATTTTTCTGGGGAAATTGTTGGAATAGATCCATTTTTATAAAAATTGCATTCCGCATGTGTTATATAGTATTATATATCATAATCTAACATCGCGTCTAAACTTGTGACATGTCTAGAAAAAAAAAACTTGCAATAAGTTATTTGAAAAATAATTTTGTCACGAAACATGTTGCCTACTTGTTACAAGTTGTTCCCCCCCCCCCCCCAGATATGTATAATAGCTTATACATGTCGCAAATGCATATGCAGTGTAATAAATATTTCGATACGTTAGTCGACTTAAAAATTTTTTAAAAAGACTTTCGAAAATTCAATCTCAACATTTGCTTCGTCAATTCGGACTGCACCCCGTTCAACTGCGCAAGGGGAATTTAGGCCTACTACTACTAATAATAATAATTTTCGCAGGAAAACAATGTTGTGTTTGTATAGCTAACAGACAACAATTATTACGACACGCCAATTGTATTTTATTGTAAAATTTATGAATGGAGACAGGATTTCGGTTTCAAAAAATAATAATAATAACAATTTCCTGCTTTGGTAAAATTGTGAACCCTTGACCCAAACAAGAGAAGCGAGAACAGTAGGGGAAATAATACATTTAAATAGGTATCAAACCTAGACATAATAAACTGACAGTATTATAGTGGCCTCCCTTTTCCCAAGAAAAACAATGTGTAAGCTTTAACATCTGTTGTTTGTTGAAATATCACAGAGACAGCTGAATGTAAACAAATTATAAATCTTACAAGGGAGGTAACCTTTAATTTTTTTTACAAAATAGGAAGCAACTGCAGATAATATTATTATCTAGTGATTATGTAGATTTTTTATATTAATTCACTTAAATTTATTCCATTAACCTAGGCAGGATTATGTCATTTTACATATATATATATATATATATATATATATATATATATATATATATATATATATATATATATATATATATGTATAAACACCGTATATATATATGTAGCTATATATTAATATTTTAACAACGTAAATCGAGGTTAACATTATCAAGAAAATGGTGGTTCGGCAATTGTCTATCTAAACTAGCAGCTAATTTTGGGTGTCAATTGGGGTAATTTTTTAAAATTATTTCTTTATATTTAGACGTTTTGTATTAGATCTATGTATAAGTAAACCATCTTAAATGAATGAAAGTAGGCTACAAGTAAGAAAGAAATATTACTATTGTAAATCTGTATCGTTCCTCACAAGCCGATGATGAAAACTGTAATACTAAAGCGAACACACAACTGACGCTATAAATTACGTGTCTGAGGCGAAAAAAAAGAGAAGAAAAAAAAAATTGGGGTAAAAAAAAAATTGGGGTAGGTTCTCAACCCCACCCCCTTCCCCTCTGATATACTTCAACATGTCCAACTTAGCTAGCGGGAATGAAGCAACTTCACCATTGTGGAGATTTGCAAACTAATGATCATTATACCTACACGAGCCAGTCCGATCTTTTCTCATCTTCGAATAAGAAAGCAATCAATCGTTTTTTCCTGGTTGTAGTCTAGATTTAATCATCTCTATAAGTCCATGACACATAGATATTTCAATTTTTCATGGACGGCAGCAGTGGGATCGCGAGGTCGGGTGCCACCCGGTGCGGAACCTCATGGTGTCACCCCCCCCCCCCCCCACACACACACTCACACCAAATGGAAAAACTATATTCTCTTTCTCTCGCTATCTGTATATATATATATATATATATATATATATATATATATATATATATATATATATATATATATATATATATATATATTCCTATTTTGGCCTAAATGTAGTTGCAATAGGTGTCGCCCCCCCCCCCCCCCCCGCTACCGTTTTGCCCACTGGCGTGATTTAATAGTTAATAGTAACGATGTTTATCAGTAGTCGATTATTAATACAGATGGATATAGAATTGTTTTCTCTACAATTTGCAGGTTCACGTCATGGTCTCACCTCCCCATCCTTAACGGGATTATTGAATTCGTACTTAAACGACTATTTAACTCTAATTAAACATTAATTGAACAGGCAAAAAGCATTTTTCTTCTCTCAATTTGGCAAATTTTTGTCTTGGTATCACCTCCGCCCCCATAAATCGTGTCACCCGTTGTGGTCCGCCCCCCTTCCTCCCCACCTAGCGACGCCTCTGGAAAGGCAGTAACGTAACAAATGCTGATGCGGATCGCATAGAGCTGAACTTTTTATACTACTTCTCACACACGATCACTGGCCTAACATTGCATGCAATGGAAAATAAAAACAAATCGCGGACAACAAGCCAAAACAACGGAGACCATGTTGTTACAGCCAATCAATGTGAGTGACATAATTACAGTTAAAAATTACATAATTACAGTGACATAATTACATTTACTTATCCTTTCCTGTCAGACATCACGTATTCCAGACACACGTGCAGAAGTGAAATTTTAAATATTTCACCCTCCCCCCCCTTTTTTTTTTTCTTCCCAAACCATGAACCAAAACATTTTTTTTTCAATTTTGCTTTCAATCAACTACGACTACCAGATACGTCCACGGATGTGAAGTTTTGGAGTCTTTTTCCTGGAAAAGCGGGTTTCTGGTCCTACTTAAATCGTGACGCGTTCATTTTCGGCCGTATTTGTGGTAAGTCTTTAATCATAGCCATATTTGTGATGAGTCTCTTATAACGTCGGTGTCAGTCATATTTGTTGTGATTCTTCTATCGTAACGTAGATTGCAGACATATTAGTGGCAAGTCTCTAATCATAGCCTCGGCTACAGCCATATTTGAGGTGAGTTTCGTATAACGTCGGTTTCAGCCATATTTGAGGGGAGTCTCTTATAACGTCGGTGTCAGCCATATTTGTGATGAGTCTCGTATAACGTCGGCTACAGCCATATTTGGGATGAGTCTCTTATAACGTCGGTGTCAGCCATATTTGTGTGAAGTCTCTTATAACGTCGGTTACAGCCAGTCTCTTATAACGTCGGCCACAGACATATTTGAGGTGAGTTTCGTATAACGTCGGTTATAGCCATATTATTTGTGGTCTCTTATAACGTCGGTGTCAGCCATATTTGTGATGAGTCTCGTATAACGTCGGCTACAGCCATATTTGGGATGAGTCTCTTATAACGTCGGTGTCAGCCATATTTGTGTGGAGTCTCTTATAACGTCAGTTACAGCCAGTCTCTTATAACGTCGGCCACAGACATATTTGAGGTGAGTTTCGTATAACGTCGGTTATAGCCATATTATTTGTGGTCTCTTATAACGTCGGTGTCAGCCATATTTGTGGTGATTCTTTTATAACGTCGACTAGTCTCATGCACACCTCAACCTTATGACGTAAGACCGAGATTCTCAGGTAGGTCCTATGCGATTGTGTTTACCTTTCTAGGTAATGATCAGACTTTTAGATAATTGAAGAAGTGTTATAAATTTAAGACGTTTTAAGAAAGATATAAGCCATGATGTAAGTAGAGTTCAACTGTTTATGTGACCTCGGCATGCGCAGTGTTTCTTTCAGACTTTATTTTTCCAGAGGAGCACTTGAAACTTTCGGGTGGGGGGGGGGGGACTAAATTTTCCCGGGTGGGGGTGGGACTCTAGTAAAAGTATATATTTTCTATATAAATTCTATTACGTTCGGGCCCTGAAATAAATGCCTGAACGCGGGGGGGGGGGGGGACATATGTCCCTGGGCGCCGACCTTAGGGGGCGCCAAAATGGGTTGGAAAAATAAATTGGAGGGTGGAGGGGGGTGCAAATCGAAAAGTTTGTCCCCGGGCGCCGGGAAGGGTCGCTACGCCTCTGCCTGAACGAAACGCTGTGCATGTGAAGGGATAGAAAGGTCAAGTCTATACTCAGCTGATCTCACACTACCTAACGCGAGTCAGGTACATTTATATTTAGTCAAAGAAGAGTGACTATAGGGTTAGTAGACATGCCGTCGGAAAACTGAGCAATCGGAAAATTGCGTAATCGGTAAATTGCGCAATCGGAAAACTGCGCACACTTTTTCGTGTTTTGTTATATTAGGCTACGTTGTAAAAGCATTCACTCTCATACTTTCTATTGATGCTCGATTTAACAAACAAAAATGCCCTTGCGCACTTTATTTGTTCGCAATTTTCCCTTACGCATTTTTCCGTTGCACGTCTTTCCAGTCACACACCTGACCAGAACTTCTCATTAGTACTTTCAAAACGAGCTGAGTTTTGTCAGTGTTTTTCGGGTTGGCTTCTTATCTGTAGGATGACAATATAGACTTGATCTAGATCAACCTCCAACCAACAATCCTTAACGATGAGATCATGTATTCGATTGTTTAAATGGAAGCAAGCGATCATGTAGCACATAGTGAAAACAAGGTAAGAAGTAAAGTTCTCCTTTCACACCTGACGATACATATGGCAGATGAAGTAGAGTTCATGTTTCTTGACCTCGGTATATAAATGGACAATATTTTTACTACTATGCCCAATCGCCTTATTTTCCTCAACTTGTGGCATGTACCCATCGAAGCTGGGTGGACTCAAGGGACGTAATACGGCCTCAGGCCAGAGGACCGAACTTGAGACTTTCAAGTTAGCAGTCGCACGCTCTACCATACGACCACGCTGGCTCTCAAAAAGTAAAATACACTTTCGAACCCAAAAGAGCAGGTGAAGTAGAGTTCACCTGTTTCAGCGCCCTCGGCATATGAAAGGATCGTGTGGTGAGGGCACGATGCCCATTACTAGAGGGCGACATAGATTTTTAAAAAAATTCAACTTACAAAACTGGTCATGCGTCTGGTTCGAGTCTATATGGTTCCTTTTTGAACCTGATGGTCCATGGGGCAAGTAAAGTAGAGTTTACCTGTTTCTGTGACATCGGCATATGAAGGGATAGTGTGGTCAACACTATGCCCAGCCTCCTTTACTTTCCCTAATGTGAGTCAAGTACCCACCAGAGCTGGGTGGACTCAGAGACCTTCTACGGACTTGAACCCGGATTCGAACTCGAGACTCTCGGGCTAGCAGCCATATGCTCTTTCATTCGACCACGCTCTTCCACCGAGTCAGTGGCCTAGCGACCCTTCCAGGGGACAAACTTTCGATTTGCACCCCCCCCCCCCTCAAACTTTCGATTTGCACCTCTTAAAACACTATTTAACACTCGAATTAATCACTTAATTAAATGGAATTATGGTTTTTCTCTATATTTTTTGCTATTCTTTGCCTTGGTGTCACCCCCCTAAATGGTGTCACCCGATGCGGTCCGCACCCCCCTTCCCCTCGCTACGCCTCTGCACCGAGTCTCTATAATACTTGACTCGAATTTTAAAATTTATTTTCAAACAGAAACCTAGCAAAGAATAACATGAGCCTCACATTCTCAGTACCAACTATAATGCCTCGTTTTGGATATTTGTTTCTGTTTTTCGCCATCACTGCTGGCGGGTTAGAAGTGGATATAACAAACGACGAAGTGAAAGGTTTAGCTAGTAACAACTCGTATGTTGCTAATGGCCAGCCGGCCAGTCTCACTACAGAAAACAACGTAAGTATGGACATAAATGTAAAGTGTAGCTCATATTTTTTTTTGAAGTGTTGACAATATTTTCTATATTTTATATGTGTCATAATTTTAAAGTGTAGCTCATAATGTTAAAATGTAGCCAAAATTTTCTCTAAGAAAATATTAAAAAAAAAAGTCTAGCCCATATTTTATATAAGACATAATTGTAAAGTGTAGCCGAGGGGTCTCCAAACTTTTCAACCCAAGGGCCCCATTAACTATCAAATATAAGTTCGGGGTCCAGAGTTTCTTCCAGGCATCTCTTCTTCAACATCTCTTAGAGGTGGTAGAGCCCCCCCCCCCCCTGAAGAACGTCTCTTAAAAGTACTTTGGCGCAAAACTTTAAATATTAGGAAAGTCTTCCTTGGGCAAAATCAAATACTTATAAAACCCACCCGCCCTTATTTGAACTTGTTTTTAAAGAGGTCATTTGCTGGGCAACTGGCCACATTTGCTTCAATGGTATTTGCACCCAATGCTACATTTTCCATTAGTTTTTAATGTTTTCTCAGCCACCACCATAAACATTTTTTTCCGTGGACAAAACAACCTCCGCGCGCGGGCCGGTTGAGAGGACCTCGCGGGCCGCATTCGGCCCTCAGGCCGTAGTTTGGAGACCCCTGGTAGCCAATCATTTTCTTTGTGATCACATTCATTCATAAATATGTGACATACTTTTCAAGTGTAGCCCATATTAAATATGTGACATACTTTTCAAGTGTAGCCATAGTTTGGTGTGGCTATCAAATGTCCTAAATGCTGATTACCATTTGGGCTTGAAACAGTTGACCAATTTTTTTTTCTTGATGTTTTTAATATAGTATCTACATATCTAACTTTAGTCAGAACTTAAAAAAAAAACATTTCACTTGTGTCCAATCTATATATATAATTCTCTTCTGGGAGCCGATAGAAAACAAGCTGCAAGCGCGCCTTACAGTCCCCTCTCTTCCTCTCTATCGCTACCACCCCCACCCCCTCACATGGACTGGTGAGCTGCGGTTCACGCTGTTTACATTTTACAATCATATTGACGGGTTTGGTGACGGCTATTAGGGGCAGATAATTTAGTTTTTAAACATAGAGGAGGTAACTAAGAGGAGGCTGCTTTCACGGGGGGGGGGGGGGGGGGGGTTAGTGATTTTAAGCAAATATTTTCAGTGGCAGCATTGGTACTGTCGAATTCACAAATTATGAATTACTGAAGGGTAGAAAAAACAACAACTAAATAGCGGCGTATGGTACACCGCGGGTCGGCTCGTATAAGATAAAGCGCTTTGCGCTTCAACTCGCTAATCTCGGCTGTAGACTAGCCTATTGTAGACTATATAAAAGAGGGCAAACTCATTTCTTTTTGTCGATTTACTTCAAATACAAAATTATAAGAATTTAAATTTTAATCTGATTTTCCGATTTATTTCCAGAGCCATATGCCTGTTAACGCGGGCACAATTTCAAAAAGTAAACAGAACGTTTCTAAGAAGATGTATAAACTGAGAAAACAGATGAAAACAACCCCAGCCACGCGCGCTTCGGGTGTGAATAGAGCGCCCCCTGTGAAGAAAGAAAACAAGAATAAACACAAAAAGGAGCGAGACACAAAGAGGCAGAACACGGGTAAATCGCAAAGAAAGCTGAACACAACTGGCCTGATGAAAGAAAACATAGATCAGCACATATTCACACAATCCAACAACGATTTCACAGATGAGAACAAGTTCAAGGAATTTAACAACAACTTAACAGATGAAAATAAATTCAATAATTCTAACAACGACTCAATAGATGAAATAAAATTGAACAGATCAACTACAAAGCCTACTGAAACAAGTTCAAAATCATCTGGCACTAAACTCTATCCGGACGTCCAAGAAATATCAACACAAACTGTAAGCCAAACTACCTACGGGAATGACAATAACGAATTGGTTGAACCACCCTCTTACGATACTACATATAATGCCACATCACTTGATACAACTTCAGGAATGGCTGCAAAAGACAATAAACACAATCATGAGGTGGTTACTCTAATAAATACACAGCGAACTTTCCAGAATGACAGTCGCGATTTAACTGAATCGTCCGATGATATCAAAACAACATCAACTTCTGATACAACTTTAAAATCGGCTCCCAACGAAACACTACACAACAATATCGAGTCAAATCTAACAAGTTCGCAACAAATATCTCAGAATGACAGCGATGATATAACTATAACCGAAACACCAGATAAAAACAGCAAGACTACCGTTTCACATTCGGAAACAACAATGTCATACTTAAAACCAAGTATTGAATCTTCCCCAAAAGAAACCGAACCGAAAACTGATGAAGTAACAGTAACTATTTACCAGCAAACCTACGAAATTGGCAACGACGATCCAGCAGAACGCCTAGATAAAAATAAATACAAATTAACTACACCAGAATCCTTAACCATTAACTCGTTTAAAAAACATGCTAAATCAGCCCTGAAAGACTTCAAAACAAAAAACGGGGCGGTAACTCGGCCTCTTAATAAACAACAAACAAACGACGATAACAATTTAGAAGAATCGTCATATAAAGAAAACAAATCCGCTGGGTTATTTCCCCTTACAGACAATGTTTATGACACCTTGCGGTTAGATTTTGAGGATCATTTCTTGCACTTCTCACCGAATTACACTGAGTATCCCAACGACGAGAGCAGTGGTGAGTTATTCCTCTTTGATTTGTGTTAATTGTTAAGGTAGAGAGAAATGACCTACTTTGTTTCTTCTAGAGTTTTTTCTCCGCCGGTGGGGGGGGGGGGGGGGAGAGCAGTGTTTCTTCCAGACTTTTTTCTCCGGGGGGGGCACTTGAAATTTTCGGGGGGGGGGGGGCGGTAGACTTTCTTCGGGGCGGGGGGGGGGGGGGCGGACACTGTTAAAAGTATATATTTTCTATATAAATCATATAAATTTCATTTCGTTCGGGGGGGGGGGGCGGTAAAATTTTTTCGGGGGGGGGGGGGGGGGGGCTTAGCCCCCCCCCCGAAGAGATGCCTGGAAGAAACTTTGGGGGAGAGAGAGAGAGAGCGGACTAAATTTTTCGGGGTGGGGGGCGGACACTGGTAAAGTATATATTTTCCACATAAATTCAATTTCGTTCGGGTTTGGGGGGTAATCCTTTAAACATTATTTTCTTACTAAAAAGTCGTTTATAACTAGTTCTTGTATCTTCATATGCAGATCTATCCTTGCGTTGTTTTAGTTTAGAAGTAATTATTCTTTTTTAAGACATTTTTCCCCCCGAGGTGGGGGAGGGGGGAGAGGGGGGGGAGAGAGAATTCTTAAGTGTGACGTCATCTTACGGGAGTTTTGACATTTTGTGACGATACAGGAGGAGTGCAAAAATGTACTTTAAAAGCGTGACGTCAATGATGGACGAACCCCTCCCCTTCCCCCCTTTTCGTAATTACAGTAAACTCTATCAGAAATCGTTTTCAGTACAGGGGCGGAACTACAGTGCCGCCAGACCCCGCAATGCGGGGGGGCCCACGCCATTTAGGGGCCCACGGCCGACCATAAAAAAAATTGTTATAGTTTAACAAAAAATTTCTTGCATTTTTGACTTAATGTTTGTTTTGTAAAAAAGATTACCCTAGCTGCGGTTGGATTATCTTTATTCTATAGACACCACCCCTTGGTCATTTTTCCTTCGTTTTTAAACCAATGTGAAAGCCGAGTCCTCTTTCTCCTACAATCAATCTTATAAAAGATAAGCAAACATTCAAACCACTTCCATGACTTATTTCCCTTTTTTAAATAGTCAAATAGTGATGCCCATAATCCTCTTTTTAATAGATTTGTACTAAACAAATTAAAAAGCAATTACTTCTCCTTATTATTATTTGTTTATAAATTATTTACTAAAGAATGACATTGTATAAAAAGAAAATGTATTTAAAATTTATAAAATAAATACAAAAAAAACATAAAAATAAACATGACACGAGACACCATTATTTACAGAAAGCTTTCATGTTTAATATTCTTTTGTTTAAAAAAAAACACATGTATTTCTCAAAACACGAACAGGCTAGCAATAAGTATCCTATGATCGTACTCATATATACATATATAGGCCTATATATTTATATGGGGGGGGGGGCTTAAAAATTTTTTTTTGCGGGGTGGCCCCTTTTTTCTAGTTCCGCCACTGTTTCAGTATCTTGAAAATATCAATAGTGTGTATATCCGTACGTAAAATATTTCAATCAAAACTCTAGTATAATCAAGTAACGTGTAGTTCCTTTCCCTTTCTTCTCATAGGCGACGTTGATACCGCCAAATCAAATTTGGTAATTTTGTCCTTACCGCCCTTGACGGAATCTATGATAGTTACCGCCCCTTCATTTCCCACTTCAACTTCGCTTTTAAAGACTTCCATTTCTGCTTCTGTAGTTAAAGCCACCATTTCTGCTCCAACAGTTCCAGACGACGCTGGGCAGGTTGATAAGAACATTCTAGACAACCGGTTTCTTGATCACAGGTGAGAAGATTTGAATTGAAGCATTTGTTGTATTTTTTAAAACGGTGTCCTCAACAGTTTCATTCAAACATTTAACATCTATCTTGCTCTGGGTAGCGGGCATTTGTCTTGAAGAAACTAACCAGAGAGGAGGGGGGGATCATGAATGATGTTTAAAGTGGGCATAATATATATATATATATATATATATATATATATATATATATATATATATATATATATATATATATATATATATATATAATTCTATTTAAAATTTATTATAATACATTTTGTTGAGGGAGGGGGGTAATGCCAGAGGCGTAGCAATGGGGGGCAGGAGCGCCGACCTTAGGGGGCGCCAAAATGGGTTGTAAAAACAAATTAAAATGTCACTTTAGCTGCATTTTTGCAGTTTGGAAGGGGGAGGGGGGGTGGGCAAATAAAAAGTTTGAGGGGGGGGCTGCAAATCGAAAGTTTGTGCCTGAAAGAAACACTTGTTGTCAATAAATTAAGATGAAAAGTTGTAATTAGTAATTCATTTTCTCAAAATAATAATAATATGGCCAACCCAGCCGCATATGTTTCCCTAAAGTAACTCAGGTACTCATCAGAGCTGGTTGGACACATACAGTGGCGTAGGCAAGGGGGGAGGGGGGTTAGGGGGTTATAACCCTTCCCATGGACTCACACTCCTATATATATATATATATATATATATATATATATATATATATATATATATATTTTTTTTTTTTTTTTTATACATATGAAAAAATATTTGAACCCCTCCCATGACCAATTCCTGGCTACGCCACTGGACACATACATGTCCTCCAGACTCTACTCCTGATCCAAACTCTAGACATTCGGGTTAGCAGTTGTAGCTTTACCATCCAACCACACAGTCCCCAGTAATAAGTAATTATGAGGGGATATTTTCTTCTCTGTTTATATACCAACCTTATTCATTGACTTTGCAGATACAACAGGTATTCTGATTTGAAAAACAACTCAGTGAAATTGCTTGTCGACTATTACAGATCATGTAATGATTGTATGGGTAAGTTTACCTGCTAAACTGCATTGTTTGCCCAATTACATGTCACTGTAAACATTTAACCAACCAAAACAGACTATGTTTGTATGGGTAAGTTCACCTGCTAAACTGCATTGTTTGCTCAATTACATGTCACTGTAAACATTTAACCAACCAAAACAGACTATGTTTGTATGGGTAAGTTTACCTGCTAAACTGCATTGTTTGCTCAATTACATGTCACTGTAAACATTTAACCAACCAAAACAGACTATGTTTGTATGGGTAAGTTCACCTGCTCAACTGAATTGTTTGCTCAATTACATGTCACTGTAAACATTTAACCAACCAAAACAGACTATGTTTGTATGGGTAAGTTTACCTGTTAAACTGCATTTTTTGCTCAATTACATGTCACTGTAAACATTTAACCAACCAAAACAGACTATGTTTGTATGGGTAAGTTTACCTGTTAAACTGCATTGTTTGCTCAATTACATGTCACTGTAAACATTTAACCAACCAAAACAGACTATGTTTGTATGGGTAAGTTTACGTATTAAATTGCACTGTTTTTCTCATTCTTATGGTGCTGTACTTTACACAAAAAACCCTATACAAAACCTGTCATTTATTTTTATTATCTTTATTTTTTCTAGTAATAAAAAGTTAATTAAGGAGTTTTCATAAATGTTGTTATTCTTCTTTGAAGATTCTCTCCTCCCCCCCCCCCCTACATCATCAGAATTATCTCAAAATATAAGACCTCCACTACCCTAAAAATAAGATCACACTTTTTCCTACCCCCACCCAACCCTACACCTTCCTGAGCTAGGTCAAGGTTAGGTATTTCAATCAATTATAATTACCTCTTACAAAGTCCTTTAAAACTGCAAAATACCTAAAATACATTCTTTTTTAAAACCTGCAAGTTTGATGTCACTATTGCATAACCTAACCCCCACTTGTAAAACAACATCACAAAAGTTTCCGCACCCCCTCTTCACACACAGTCACAAGTGCATTGTTTTAATTACTGCTTCTAATTTTTATAAAAACTAGAAACCTTTTTTTTTTCTAAACAGCTAAGGGGCATAATTATTCAAATATTTCTATTATAAAGTCTATTTATCTAAGTTTTTTTTTTTAAACAAATACATTTATTTTAATTACTTTAATTAAGGACTTAATTGTTTTTTTTAATAAATACATTTATTTTAAGTATTTTAACTTTAAAATAAGGATTTAATTGATTTTTTTTCCAGTAATGTATCGTGAAGCTAACTATCAGTGTCACAACTATGAAAATGAAGCTGCTGAATTTCAGAAATGGTCCAATGAATACATCAACATCTTGCGATATGGCTGTTCTGGAGCAGGCAAGTACACACAATATTGTTCTACCTGCAATTTGAAGTAAGCTGTGAATTAGCTAGATATGACACTTGAATAGGTAAACAGTAGCTGTCCTTCTTCTTCCTTTTTAATTTTAGTGTAGGAAGGTATCCCCTCCAACACAATTAAGTATATGTGTTAACTGGTTATGCTCCTTTGAGGCCATGTGTTAACTGGTTATGCTCCTTTGAGGCCATTAACTCGGACTTCAGCCTGCTTTTCTTTTTGGATTTGCTTCCATAGCCTTTGTCCAACCAAGAACAAACTACAAGGCAGCGGTTGTTTGATTTTGGAGTTGTCTCTCTTAAAAGAGTGGCTGTACCCAGCTAACGAGCCTCATCTGCACAAGGGTTCGAACTCGAGACTTTTCGGTTTAGCAACCATGAGCTTTACCGACCCAGTAACTGTCCTAAAAATTCATACACTTTAAGACGACTAGAGACACTGATTTTTAATTGTTTTATGATTAGACTCCTTCACTCCTTAAAAATGAAAATTAGATAAAGAAGTTTATTTTTATTTTTTCCTAACAGTAAATCTTTATTCCATTTTTATTTTGAAGTTTTTTCATCAAATTTTTTTGTATGTAGATCTAGGCCTATTTAAATTAAAAGTAGTTGCCTTTTCATACCTAACAATTCATAGGGGGCAGATCAAGTAGTGTTCATATGTTTCTACACTTCAGATCATGAAGAGCTGCCTTTACTTTCCCCAGCATAAGTTGGGTGGACTCAAGCAACAGCGCTTGCATGATTGATTGCAAGGGGAATAGCCTGGAGTTTAAGCCTGGTGATTGTTGCAGTAAGTGACTTGTTTGCATGATTGACTGCAAGGGGAAGGGCCTGGAGTTTAAGGACTGTGGGCCTGGTGATTGTTGCAGTAAGTGGCTTGCTTGCATGATTGACTGCAAGGGGAAAAGCCTGGAGTTTAAGGACTGTGGGCCTGGTGATTGTTGTAGTAAGTGGCTTGCTTGCATGATTGACTGCAAGGGGAATAGCCTGGAGTTTAAGGACTATGGGCCTGGTGATTGTTGCAGTAAGTGGCTTGTTTGCATGATTGACTGCAAGGGGAGGAGCCTGGAGTTTAAGGAATGTGGGCCTGGTGATTGTTGCAGTAAGTGGCTTGCTTGCATGATTGACTGCAAGGGGAAGGGCCTGGAGTTTAAGGACTGTGGGCCTGGTGATTGTTGTAGTAAGTGGCTTGCTTGCATGATTGACTGTAAGGGGAGGAGCCTGGAGATTGTTGCAGTAAGTGGCTTGCTTGCATGATTGACTGCAAGGGGAAGGGCCTGGAGTTTAAGGACTGTGGGCCTGGTGATTGTTGCAGTAAGTGGCTTGTTTGCATGATTGACTGCAAGGGGAGGAGCCTGGAGTTTAAGGACTGTGGGCCTGGTGATTGTTGCAGTAAGTGGCTTGCTTGCATGATTGACTGCAAGGGGAGGAGCCTGGAGTTTAAGGAATGTGGGCCTGGTGATTGTTGCAGTAAGTGGCTTGCTTGCATGATTGACTGCAAGGGGAAGGGCCTGGAGTTTAAGGACTGTGGGCCTGGTGATTGTTGTAGTAAGTGGCTTGCTTGCATGATTGACTGTAAGGGGAGGAGCCTGGAGATTGTTGCAGTAAGTGGCTTGCTTGCATGATTGACTGCAAGGGGAAGGGCCTGGAGTTTAAGGACTGTGGGCCTGGTGATTGTTGTAGTAAGTGGTTTGCTTGCATGATTGACTGTAAGGGGAAGGGCCTGGTGATTGTTGTAGTAAGTAGTAAGTGGCTTGCTTGCATGATTGACTGCAAGGGCAAGGGCCTGGAGTTTAAGGACTGTGGGCCTGGTGATTGTTGTAGTAAGTGGCTTGCTTGCATGATTGACTGTAAGGGGAAGGGTCTGGTGATTGTTGCAGTAAGTGGCTTGCTTGCATGAATGACTGTAAGGGGAAGGGTCTGATGATTGTTGTAGTAAGTGGCTTGCTTGCATGATTGACTGTAAGGGGAAGGGTCTGGTGATTGTTGCAATAAGTGGTTTGCTTGCATGATTGACTGTAAGGGGAAGGGCATGATGATTGTTGCAGTAAGTGGCTTGCTTGCATGATTGACTGTAAGGGGAAGGGCCTGATGATTGTTGTAGTAAGTGGCTTGCTTGCATGATTGACTGTAAGGGGAAGGGCCTGGTGATTGTTGTAGTAAGTGGCTTGCTTGCATGATTGACTGTAAGGGGAAGGGTCTGATGATTGTTGTAGTAAGTGGCTTGCTTGCATGATTGACTGTAAGGGGAAGGGTCTGGTGATTGTTGCAGTAAGTGGCTTGCTTGCATGATTGACTGTAAGGGGAAGGGTCTGGTGATTGTTGTAGTAAGTGGCTTGCTTGCATGATTGACTGCAAGGGGAAGGGCCTGATAATTGTTGCAGTAAGTGGCTTGCTTGCATGATTGACTGCAAGGGAGTTTGATAAATGTGGGCCTGGTGATTGTTGCAGTAAGTGGCTTGTTCATTCATGCTAGCATCAGTATCTTTTTTTTAATTCAGAATAATATGTAACAGAAATTTTAAATCAAGTAGGCTTAGGAAGCAGGACATTACATTCCCCCCCCCCCCTTTCTGTCAATTACCCCCAGGTCATTTCCCTCTCATAATCTGCCCCCCACCCCCACCCCCCTCACCCTTGGTTAATTACTAATTGATCCTTAACTAATAGTGATATTAGTAAGGGTTAGGGAAAGTAGTAGGAATATGGATCGGGGTAGGAGTAGAAAAAGCGTTATGGTTAGAGATAGGTTAATAATAGGTTATGGATATGATTAGTAATAGGTTTAGCATTAAAGTTAGTACATTAGTTATAGGGAGCTAGTGAGGGATAGGCAAAGATATAAGTATGATATGTATTTTCAAGGGGGTGAGGGGAAATGGGGGTTAGTTATGCCACAGACCCTAAGTCTATAGCCTACAAATAGGGCCAACTACAAATCAAAATTCACCTATGATTCTCATAAGGTCCCTAGCAGTTTTTGGCAAAGACTGTTAGGGGCTTTGTGAGAAAAAATAGGTGAATTCTCATTATCCTAGTGTTCAAATCTAAAAAAAAATATTATTCATACAAGTATTTCAGTATTGTAAACATGATAGTGATTTTTTTTATTTGCACGATTACCCTAATTTATTATTAGGTTAGTATTAACATAAAAAAAAACTAAAAAAAGACCAATTATTTATCTTTTTTTAAATGGTAAATTTCTCAAGTTTAAATTTGACAAATTATACCTTTTTATGATTTTTCTTTTGCAAATTAATTTTACAAGAGGAACGAGTATGGAGTGCTTGGGGTGAGTGGACAAACTGCACCAATGACTCAAAACATCCTACCCACACAAGATGGAGAGCCTGTGAAGCCGACCAAATCCACATTGATAAACCAATGTGTCCTCAACCTTGTTTTGGGGGCAATCATCAAGTTGAGACTTGCTGCCGTAAGAATTTTGCTAAATCATCATCTTCTTCTTTTCCCTTTTCTGCCCAAGACACATGGGCAACGGTTTCTTTTAGGAATCTCTTTCGGGGGGGGGGGGGGGGTGTAGGGCTGTGCCACCCTCTGAAACTCATCTACCGGCCCCTGAATTAAATTGTTTTTAAAGAAAATATATATATTAAACTAGTGAGTGTATGCCCCCTCACCAAAAAATTTAGTCCACTCCCCACCCCACCCTCCAAAGTTAAGTGCCCCCCTGAGTGAGAACAATGTCTGAAAGAAACACTGCACATGGGGCAGCCACAGAAAGCTTCCTCCATTTTTGTTGGTCACCTGCCATTTTCCTGGCAGTCCCCCAAGACAGTTCTGCTTTTGCCAGCTGCTTGTACTCCGTGCACCTCTATATCTCCCTTGGCCTTCCCTGTTTTCTTTTTCCTTGAGGCATGCAGTTAAGCACCATTCCTACAATCTCATCTGGATTCATGATTAAGAAGTGCCCCATCAAGCGCCATCTTCTTTTTTGTTTTATTATTTTGGAAACTGCTTCCATTTTCATCTCTTCTAGTAATTTATTATTATTGGAGATATTGTTAGGCCAGTGAATGCCTTTTATTCTTCCCAAGCACTTAGTTTGAAAACAGTCCAGTGATCTTCTGGTGGCAATTGTTTAATTTCCAGTATTCACTGCCATATAGTAGAACACTAAGGACATTACTTTTGAAAAGTCTGCATTTGGTCATGGAGGAGATTTTCTTAGATCCCCATCTTTTTTGCATGGTTATTTTACTAAATAGAGCATTTAAAGAAATCAGCTTGTTTCAATAGTTTTCTCCATATCCACTTCAACAAGTGTTCGAAGCATATTAGTTGGCAGCAAGTGGGAGGGGGGATTAAATAAGTATTGGCAACTGATGATGTAGACATCATATACCAGTTTGACAACATTTAGTACTGTGTTTTATTTGAGTGTTATAGGACTAGCCAAGCAACTGTATTGCATTACACCAACATGCACTCCATAACATTGACATGCACTGCATGACATTGACATGCACTGCATGATACTGACATGTATATCATCTTTTCCCATTCATGCCCAAAGACACATTGGGGGTTGATGAAGTAGAGTTCATCTATTTCAGGGACTTTGGCATATGAAGGGATAGTATGTTCAGCACTATTTCCAGCCACCTTTGCTTTCCTTAACATGAGATAGTTACCCATCAGAGCTGAGTGGACATTTTACTTAATTGAAACCAGATTTGAACTTGAGACTTTTGGGTTGCAGTCTAGCACTCTACCACTAGGCCACGCCATCCCCAACATGTATAAACATTTATATAAAAAAAAATTTCAGATGTATCTTGGGGTGAGTGGAGCCCATGGACACAGTGTACGAGCACTATTGGTTATAAAGACCCAGATACAAATAAAGATTGTGGCAGTGGTTGCAGAAACAGGTAATGTTGATATTTCATTTTTCTGAGGTTTTTTTCTTTTGAATGCTATAGCTAGCCTATATTATTTACTCACTGGAACTAATTTCTTTGTGTGTGAGAGATAATAGCTAAAGAACTGGGAGTTCAAATAAGATTATTTTTTTAAGTAAAGAAAGAATTGATACTGATAGTACTGATACATTTTATTTTATTTTTTTTTTATTTACTCTTTCTAAATATAAATTTACAAAATTAAACATTTTGGAATCAAGTTAGAATATATTGAAACGATTTCTATCACTGAGTATTAGTCAAAACACTAAATCTGTATGTGTAGTGTATCAAATATACAGGGGAGATAACCAGCACAATGATGCCAAGTAAATTTGTTTGAGTAGTGCCCCTGTAACGTTATTTGTGAAATGTGTTGTCAACATGAGTCGTGATCTGGGCATTAAGCAGAACACAAGCAAATAAAATACTATTTTTGTCTTCAGGATTATTTTTTGTACTGTTTTATCATCATATACATATATAATATATAATTAAATATTATAATAATATATAATGTATACAACATTACAATATATAATGTAGATGTATCTAGTATCTATATATAATAAAAATATATATAAGCCTATACTATATAATTATATATATAATATTTATATCATATTGTGTTCATAATATTATAATATATAAATATATAAATATATATATAATATATATATATATATATATATATATATATATATATATATATATATATATATATATATATATATATATATATAACATTTAACTTTTTTACATTTATGTATAATGTATGTATATATATATATATATATATATATATATATATATATATATATATATATATATCTTATAAAAATATAGAACCAGAGAATGCAAAACCCAGCCTCCTGGATGTGAAAGGGAACTGACCTGTGTTGGGGACCATATGGAGTATATGTTATGTAACTTGAAGCCTTGCTGTGGTATGTTTACTACGTGCTAATGGAGTACACACACTGCGTTTGTGTTTTACACGCTTAGTTCTACACAAGTGTAACATTGATGTTTCATACCAGTGTCCACAATAATTGAATCTTTTTTAAAATGCAATGTTAAATAATTGATAGTTAACTTAATATTTGTTATTGTCCATTTTAACTCTAAACACAAACCCTAATCAAATTACTATCATAGCTATTTAACCCTTTTTTAACCATAACACTAAAACTACATTATAATACTAACAACCTAACGCATCTTTTTTTGTCATACATCGGTAATGCTTTTCATACATCGGTAATGCTTTTTGAAAAAAAAAACTTTTTGAAGTTAAGCTTTAGTATCCTTATACCTGATACACATTACATCTTTTTGTGTAAAGAATTTAAGTTTGCAGATTAGACTATTTCTTGACTCATTAACTTATTTGTCACATAAATCACTCAGTCCTTTATTCAGAAAGTTTATATATATATATATATATATATATATATATATATATATATATATATATATATATATATATATATATATATATATATATATATATAATGTTTAAAAAAACTACTTTTTTAGAATTAGTTCCTAAAAATCAAGTATGCTACATTTTATTTTTGTACACAGTTATCCCATCATGGACTGCATGGACACCTTGGGATGAATGCCCACAGACCAACAGAGCAGAAGTTCAAAGCAGACATCGTTGGTGCCAGCTCAGTCGAGGTGATTTGGGTTCTCCCGCATGTCAACTTCATGGCTGTTTCAACAGCAGAAATAGTTCAGAGGATCAGCAGACACAGCCTTGCTTAAACACCTGCAATCCTTGTGGTTAGTAATTTTCTTTTATTAAAACTAACAGAATTTGGTTGCATTTTGGGAAATTTCCTAATCAATTAAAATTTTAAACAACCAAAAAAAAGATTGACTTTCGCAATTCCTTTATTAGTTTGTTTTCATTTTTTTAAAATGTATGTTAATTTATTAAATGGTGCATATAATGATTTCTATTAAAAAAAATATGACTAATTGAATAACATATTTTCCATAATTTTATCATTTTAAACTCATCTTATTGGAATCAGCTTTTAAACCACACCTTCTTTAGTTTTAGTGGTGTTTAGTAAAAGATGCTCTTCTAATTTTACTGAAATTCACACCCCCCCCCCCCCCCCACCCCAACTCACAACTGGTCCATACTGAAATCAATTCTATTTAAACATTTCTAATAAACACCATTTCAATTTTTTATGCAAAACATATGTATGCTAAGACACATTTAATAAGTTAATACTCCACCATTTAGCTCATCTTCACATAACTCCAAAAGTCACAGCCACCTCCAAAACTACTTACCAGAAATTTCTTCTTCTTTGTTCATAATTTTAGTGTTGGAAGGGATCTCCTTGAACACACTTAAGTATATGTGTCAACTGATTATGTGCCATTGAGGCCATTGACTCTGATTTCAGCCTGCATTTCTTTTTGGATTTGCTTCCATAGCATTTGTCCAACCAAGAACAAACTATAAGGAAGCAGTTGTTTGATTTTGGAGTTGTCTCTCCTAGAAGAGTGTCTGTCCCCAGCTAATGAGCCTCATCTGCCTGAGGGTTCAAACTCAAGACTCGAACTTGAGACTTTTTGGTTTAGCAACCATGAGCTTTACTGACTCGACCATGCCGACACCCCCTGAAATTTCTAATGTCCCATACTAGCCAAAGTCTAAAAATCCTTTAGTCTTCCTTAAAATGTATTGTTTTTTTAGTGAATCCTGAGTGGAACTCCTGGCTAAAAATCCTTTAGTTTTCCTTAAAATGTATTGTTTTTAGTGAATCCGGAGTGGAACACCTGACTTAAAATCATCCAGTCTTCCTTAAAATGTATTGTTTTTAGTGAATCCTGAGTGGAACTCCTGGCTAAAAATCCTTTAGTCTTCCTTAAACTATTGTTTTTTAGTGAATCCAGAATGGAACTCCTGGCTAAAAATCCTTTAGTCTTCTTTAAACTGTATTGTGTTTTAGTGAATCCTTAGTGGAACACCTGACTATAAATCCTTTAGTCTTCCTTAAAATGTATTGTTTTAGTGAATCCTGCGTGGAACATCTGGAGCCAGTGGTCACTCTGTGAATTCCAGTCTGATGGGACTATCAGACGAACAAAGAGCCGCACTTGCTATGCGCCATCGGACAGTCAACCAAACTGTCAGCATTTGACATGTGTTGGACCCGATATTGGGAGTGAGCTTTGCAAATGTGGTAAGTGTCACTTAAAAATAAAATCATCTACTCTTAACAGCTAAGCCTCTCAGAAAAACAAGGTACTAAAAAAAACAAGCTATTCAGAAAAAAACAAGCTATATATAAAAAGAGCTATTCATAAAAAACAAGATACTCGTAAAAAAACTAGCTACTCATAAAATACAAGCTATGCATAAAAAAAGAGGTATTCATGAAAATCAAGATACTCATAATAAAACATGCTACTCATAAAAAAATAATCTATTCATTTAAAAAAGCTGAGTGATCTCCCTTAAGCTTTATTATATATTATGTTTTTTAAATAGAATAGACGTAACATAAATGGTACTCAAGTTATTTGCTTTTAAGGAATGGGAAGTAGAGTAAGTACCACAACCGGTTATGATGCTCAGAAGTTTATGCAGAGCTACAACTTTGATACAATTCAATTGTTATGTTCGACACACACACACAGACAGACATACAGACAAAATTGCAAAACTAAATTTTTCTGACTCAAGGAGTTGTAAAACATTAAGATTTAAATTTTTTGCAATATTACAATACATCCTCTCTACTTTGAATAAGAGAAAAAAAGCTACTCATGAAAAAACAAGCTACTCATGACAAGACCAGTTTGTTGTTGTGTCCACTCATTCAAAGGCAAACAGTTGATGTAATGATTGAAGTGAGGTCAAGAAACCACAGCTGTCATTGCTTTGTTGCGTTTATCATTTAGCAGTTTTTACAGAATCTAGGTTTTTTTGTTTTGGACATTTCGCACAGTTGCTGTATGGAGGTTTGAGAATTGTTTTCGGGGCTATGGATCTCTGTATGTGAAGTTAACGTATAGGTCTGGAAAATAATCAGCAACATATGCATTCCCCAATTCTGGCCAGGTACTCAGTACAACTGGGCTTACTCTGGGACATTGAGATATAACTGGGACAGTATGGACAAATGGTAGAGCTTACAACTGCTAACCGGACAGTCTTGAGTTCGGTCCCAACTGTAGGACGTCCCAGATCCCACTAGCTCTGATGGACACCTGAATCATGCTAGGGAAATCAAGACAGCTAGCATAGTGCAGACCACACTATCTCCATGTTTTCCGAGGTTATTGAAACAGATGAACTCTACTTCATCTGCTTTATGTGTCTTGGGTACAAAAGGGAAAAGACGATCGTTGCGATATATCTGGGTTCACTCAAGGACATCAAGACTGGGAAACAAACTGTCATCTTTTAGCTAAAGTAAAGAATCTTCTTTAAACCTAGCAATCCAATAGGCAGTTGAAGTAGAGTTCACCTCGGCAAAACACCAACGCAAAGTAAGTAAAGATCCCTTTTCTAACTTACGGGGAATGGGACAAGTGAAGTAGAGTTCACCTGTTTCCATAACCTCTGCAATATGTCCAGCCACCTTTACTTTCCCTAGTTGAGTTAGGTACCCATCAGAGCTGGGTTGACTCAGGGACATTCTACTGACTTGCACCCGGATTCAAACTCGAGACTAACTTGGGTTAGCAGTCTAGCTCTCTTCCCCTTAGGTCACTCCATTCCCCCTACTATCACTGGCTATAGTTCTATCCTCTGTGATGTATGCTAGAATAAAATTATTACAATTTAATTTCAGATACTGGAACCTGGAGTGATTGGAGTGAATGGGGAAATTGTGAAAAACAAGGCTATGAAACCATTCAAAGGAAGAAAACAAGACTCTGTTTTGCTGACAGTAATCCGTCCGACTGCCCAAAAATATATTGCGATGGAGATTATGAGGAAAAGGAAAATTGTTGTGGTAATTAATTTTTTGTTTTACAGTTGATTTATTTGCTTTGGCCTTGTAGTTATTAATTAATTAGTCAAATCTGACATGTTTTCTAGACTAAACTCTCCATATATTAAACTTATATTTATAATGTATTTGTTGGTTATAGATGTTAATAATAAAGAAATCCAATTAAGTTCTTTTTTTAAAATCTGTTTTCTATTAATAAACTGGGCGGACAGTAAAAGATGTAAAAGATAATTTTTTAAAGTTTACCTTTTAGACCTTTGCACATGAGAAGATTTTAATCAGATGCTAATCAGAGTTCTTTTGGTACAGTAATGGCTAACATATCTTTCCTCCTTCTTGTTCTAAATTCTAGTGTTGGAAAGGATTCCCTCTAACACAATTAAGTATTTTGTGTCAACTTGTTATACGCCATATTGGCCATTGACTTCAATTTCAGTCTTCCTTTTTTTTTTTGGATATGCTTTTGTTCAACCAAGAACAAACTACAAGGCAGCAGTTGTTTGATTTTGGAGTTGTCTCTCCTAGAAGAGTTGTTGTCCCCAGTTAGCAACCATGAGCTTTATCGACTCAACCACACCGAGCTTCAAATATGTATTCTCAGAAAATTAATTTAAAACGGTTTGGTTAGAAATTGAGTGCTGTACCATCCATCCATCCAATCTCTCCCTTCCCTCCCCCCCCCCCCCCACAGTGTTTAAATATTACTTTTTTCAGAAGAGGTTAATTTAGCATGTCACCCCTAAGAGGACGTTGGCTGCTGACAAAAGATTTCCAGGCATCTCTGTACTGGGCTAGTCTCTCCAATTGTCCCCAGGTGTATCCAATCTTCTCAATGTCTTCTTCCAGGTCTTTCTTGGTCTGCCTCTGTATACGAGGTGAAGGCCTGTATTGTTATGCTGTATTAAGTCTTCCTGAGTGTTTGGCCAATCCATTTCCATTTTCTCTGGAAGATCTCTTCCTCAGCTGGCAGTTTGTCTTTTGCCATAGAACCTCATTTCTGATGGTTTTAGGCCAGCGAATTTGAAGGATCTTTCTGAGGCATGAGTTTATAGATGATTAAATTTTCTTCTTATTTGAGGCAGTTATTCTCTATATCTCAGCCCCATAGATTAAAACAGGTTTTACTAGTATGATTGTTGAAGATCAAGATTTTTATTCCAAGGGTTAAATCTCCTGAACACTAAACATTTTTTAGGTTGGTTGAAGACTGCTCTTGGCTTGCCCATCCTTATTTTTATGTCTGCTTCTTTTTCAGAAGGGATAATCTGGAAAGAATGGGGCGCCTGGTCTCACTGTCTGTATGGATCTCCTCCTTATCGAACTCGCACTAGAGAGTGCCACGTGCCTGCCAAAAACTTACAGAACCCTAAATGTCTGAAAACTTGTGAGAATTGGACGGAGAGAAAGGACTGCACCCTTACAACTTCTAAATCTTGCAGTAATTAGATTGTTGAAAAATTCATTAATACAAAATTTACTAATGGATATTGATAATCAATCAAGAAAGGGTGGGGTAAAAATTAACTAACTTTGAAAATTACTGTCACAGTAGCTCTAATTGATTAAAAATAAACTAGCCTGTATATTCTAGTCCTTTTCATTTTTTGATTATTATTTTTTTGCTGTTTCTTTGGGGGGGGGGGGGGTATTTCACATTGATTAAAATTAATACATTTCCTGGCTTTATAACTAAGTATGGTTCATAAATAATGCTTATGAAGTGACTATGTGGTTAGCACTATGATACTGCACTATCCAGCAGTAATGCCTTTGATCTCTTCCTGCACATCAATTAGCATTTACAGTCCATTGAGTAACAAATTATTTACTTCTGTACAAGATATATCAATTACCATTAACAGTCGATTTAGTAAAACCTTATTTCCATTTGTACAAGATAATTATATCAATTAGCATACATCCATTGAGTAAAAATCATATCAATGATCATTATAATTTTCTATTTTTTTACCCTAAAAGCTCAGGGAGAATGGGAAAACATAAGAGACCCATGTGACTGCGCAACCAACAAAAGCAGAAGTTACCAGCTTAGAGTCAAATCTAGCTATGAAGACCAGAATTTACCTCTCTGTTCGCCAACCACCAGAAATAATTCTTCCAGAGATTGTTCAGACCAGTGTGTTGCAGGTAGGCTAGTGTCTCATGCAAGAATAGAGAGTATGAGATAGAAAATTCATTTTTTGATACTATGAATACATTTATAGATAATAATTTCTAATCATCATCATGTTTTTCTGTTTGTGCCCAAGAGAAATTAAACAGATGAAATAGAGTTCCTCTGTTTTGAGGACCTCGGACATGTGAGAAATAATATGGTCAGCACAATGCCCAGTTGCCTTTATTTCCCTATCATGTGTCTGGTACCCATCTGAGCTGGGCATACTCTTGGATGTTCGACAGATAACAGCCTGGGAACTAACTTTAGGCTATTGGCTTAGCAGATGAAAACTCTACCATCTAACAAACCATCCCCATAATTTCTAATATTGTCATATCTTATTATTAGTTATTACATTTAGTACATATTGTCCGCTGGGAACAGCAACCCATCTAGGAGAGAAAACTCCTACATGAAACAGGAGTGGAGCCCCTTAGGCCATAGGGTTACTAATTCTGGTTTCCTTTCAGCAACCCTGCAACACTGATGATTCCAACTTGTACAGGTTAGTGGCGTAGCGAGGTCGGGTGTCACCCGGTGCGGCACTTAATGGTGTCACCCCCCCCCCCCCCCCACAGGCTTAGCACCCTTCTTGGGGACAAACTTTCAATTTTCGATTTGCACCCCCCCCCCCTCAAATTTTTCTCTATATATTTTGCTATTTTTTACCTTAGTGTCATCCTCCTAAATGGTGTCACCCGGTGCGATCCCCACCCCCTGATACGCCTCTGGTACAGGTAATGTCGTGTCCCTAGGGTCCATTAGCTGTGTGGAGAGAGAGGGTCTTATACAGATGCAACATCTGTCTCTTCTCGACTTAAGGCCCAGGTTTTGTGCTTGGATTTCCAATGCGCAATCATCCAATGGTGTTTTAGACCAGGGGTCTCCAAACTTTTCAGTCCGAGGGCCGCATTAACTATCAAATTTCAGTTCGGGGGCCAATTTCTTCCAGGCATGTCTTTGATTTTTCTGGGCAAACTTCCTCAGCCATCACCAACAAAAGTTTTTTCCATGGACAAAAAGATCTCGGCGGGCCGGATGAGAGGACAGATGCGGCCCACAGGCCGTAATTTGGAGACCCCTGTTTTAGACTGTGGAGCCATATTATTATCTGAATAAACTTCCCCTCAGTTAAATTTTTAAAAATTTTAAAATACATTTTACTAATTCTTTTATTCTACATAAACATATGTACTATGAAATAAAAGATACAGTTGTGAAATATCTCAATCTTCTACTTGTGAAGTTTACAAAATTTCTACTTTTTTCAGGTTGTAATGAGACATGTCAAGGGAAAACTGATGGAAAATACCCTTCATGTAGAAAAGGATGCAACCATTATGTTATGTGTTGCGAAAGTAAGAGAAATGTTTTATTTTACCATTACCTGTTCTAAATTACATTTTGTATAGCCAAGTTACAGAATTTTTTTTTACTCTTCGCACCTGCACCTGGTGGTTCAGAAGGCAGATGTTGTAGGGATCATCTGTTTAGTGACTTCAGTATCAGTAGCGTAGCCAGGATCGTCTCAAGGGGAGGGTTCCAATTATTACCCGGGGACAAACTTTCGATTTGCACCCCCCCCCTCAAACTTTCGATTTGCCCCCCCCCCTTCATACTTTTTATATATATACTGAGGGGTCTATGGGGGGGGGTTATGACCCCCCTAACCCACCCTGCCTACGCCACTGTTCAGTATGTCATGGGATAGTGTGGCCCAACCACCGTTACTCTCTCTAACATAAATCCGTTTCCGTCAGAGCTGGATGGACTTGGGACATCTTAGTTTCCAATCCAGGATTCGAGTTCAAGACTTTAGTGCACACTAACATCTGTCTTCACTGTCACCTAGATAGAAAAAATAGCTCAAAATTGTGTTCCTTTTAACTCTTTCTATACCACCTCCTGACCTCATTATTTCCGTGACCCAATTTTTTTTACACAGCCCTCGCCTACTTAAACAATTATAGCTCCTATGTTTTTCTAACCAGATTTATGTATTATACATCAAAATGAACAGAAATGAAATTTCTATAGTAGTAAATAAAGATAATTGTGAGTTAAAGAATGTAGGTTTTTTACATGTTAAATGACTTGTTAAAGAAACAAACATTAGCGGTGTTGAGCCGTACCTTGCGGCTCGCGGGCCTACGGTGAAGCTGGCTCAAGCCGCATCTCGCGGCTCATGGGACGGATTGAGTTAAAACTCTTGTGGGTTTCTACAACCAAATGGAACAAAGAGCTAACTAATAAATGATCAAACTGTTGTTGAGTGAATTAATGGCTAGACATACCACTGACCTCAACACCTCTTTATACATAGAGTTAAAAAAGTATTTGAAATCTACTTCATTCAATAATGTGGAGTCTAAGGACTTGCCCCCAAAAAATTTTAGTAAAACAAAATGCTAAATTTTGTCAAATTGATGTGTGACTTAAGTGGCAGAGTGGAGAGAAAGATATCCATAATGTCAGATTTGGTTTGATTTTCTCTGTCCTGCTTTCTTCCCTTCCCTTGTTTTAGCGTGTGCCCAATGAAAAATTTCACAGCATACCATCTGTCCTATGAGGGGAAGGCTAATTAAATTTTTTTCTTAAAAACTATTGACATTCAGCTGGCAAATGTTTATGTGTTTGTATGATTAAAAAAAAAAATTACCATACTAAACATAAAATTTCAATTAAAATGTGGATATCCCTACACTAATAACAAATACAATTTAATTTAAATTTTAAATTGAACATTATTTTAAGCGGAGAAGTCATTAAAAACTTAAAATATATCACAGTACCATATTTTCTATTATGGAACGACGTGGCCTACTAATAAAGCACTATAATATACTGCTAGCCTTAAAGTCCTGAGTTCGAATCCAGGTTCAGTTCAGTTGAACATCCCTGAGTCCACACTGCTCTGATAGGCACCTAAAAAGTAAAGACGGCTGAGCATATTCTAACCACACTATCCCTTTATAGGCGAGGTCACAGAAACAGATGAATCTATATATATATATATATATATATATATATATATATATATATATATATATATATATATATATATATATATAATATATATATATATATATATATATATATATATATATATAAATATATATATATATATATATAACTCTCTTCATGGGGATCATGCGCGACACCATGTAAACGCACACCGTTACTCCCCCGCTCTCTAGGCATATAGCTACCACCCCCACTCCCACCATTCTTGTGAGCTAACGTTCACCCTGAATGTTTATAATCGTAGAGCCGCGTCGAATTAATAATTAGTAATGGCTATTAGGGGCGGATAATTTAGCTTTTAAACTATTTGAAACTAAGAGGTAAGAAGTTCTGCTTGATCTTTTCATTGTCGTCCGTCAACTGTCGTCACGGACGGCTTCTGGGGGGGGGGGGGGAATGGAAGGAGGGTAGTGTCGAATTCACTAACTATGAAGTACGGAAAAGTAGAAAAATAAAACAACTAAATAGCGGCATATGATACGCCCCGGATGAGCTCATTCTACTTATTTCGTCTCATGGACATATGGTTCAAAAAGGGAACTTGACTTACTAATTACTATATTTTCTATTGCAGATACCCCTCTAGTAAGCAAATGTAATGGAGGACAACAGTATAACTCAGTGTGCCGAAAATGTGTATTAGAAAATCTGCCACCTGTAACGATGATGGCTATGATATCCATCTCAACGATGCCCGCATTGACGATCCCAAACCTATCGACCGCTGTAATTAATTAAAATAAATATTTTTTTCATAAAATAATTACTTTTCATCACTATGTTTAAGGGTTTCAAAATGTATCAGTACAAATGAAATTGTGCTGAAGTACATTGTTTTAAGTTTTCCAAAAAAAACAACTTTGTAATAGCTAGTAACTAAATCTTGTTATGTTTTATTCATGTTTCTTTTTAATATAAATAATATATTGTGCTATGATGCTCATTTGAAGTCAAGTATTGCTGGACCTACTGTTGTTTTTTCAGAATACCATGGTAAAGATGCTCACCTCAATTCTTCTTCTTCTTCTTCGTTCTTAATTTTTAGTGTTGGGAGGGATCGAGCCTTATCTGCCAGAGGGTTTGAACTCGAGACTTTTTTTGAATTTATCAACCATGAGCTTTGCCGTCTCGACCATGCTTCCATCACAATTAAGGTTTACGTGTCAACTGGTTATGAGCCATTGAGGCCATTTACCCCGATTTTAGCCTGCTTTTCTTTTTGGATTTGCTTCCATAGCCTTTTTCCAACCAAGAACAAACTACAAGGCAGCAGTTGTTTGATTTTGGAGTTGTCTCTCCTAGAAGAGTGGCTGTCCCCAGCTAACGAGCCTCATCTGCCTGAGGGTTCGAACTCGAGACTTTTCCGTTTAGCAACCATGAGCTTTACCGACTTGACCACGCCGACCCCTCCTCACCTCAATTGACAAAGCCTTATTTTCGTTTAATATGTCAGGGTCATTTCCACAGTGTTAAAAAAAAGTACTAATGAGTATAAAATTAATACCCTTGTAGGGATGTGTGTATCTGAATATTTGAAAAGTATTTTTTTCTTAACTGGTATTTTGAAGAAGTACAGAATGTAATAATCAAAACATTATAGTGCCTACTTGTTTAGAAAAGTTAAATTTTGTTGTATTAAATCAATGGTATAGTGATGAAATAAAAATCACTAACTCTTACTTAAATACCCTCTCACAGAGCATGTAGTTCAATGGGATTAAGTACTTTGAAAACACATTTTGTGATCTATGGTAAAAACTAACAAAAAAAAATTGCAAAGGAATACGTTTAGTATAGAACTTCTATAGAAGTCATTTAATGCCTTTTTAAAGCATACATAAAGTATGTAAAAGGAATACAACTTAGTATAATTATAAGGAATAGTGATCATATAACATTGTAATTTACGGTAATAGCAATTTAAACAGAAACTCTGCTAATTTACAGTAAGCATATCAGTCAAATTTTAATAAAGAACAGAGCCACTCTTTAAAAAAACACATTTTAAACAAATCTAAAATTTAAATTTAGCATAGTTAAAAAAAAACTACTAGGAAAGAATATAAAGGACTTTTTTTCCTGAATATTTGTACATTGTTAAGTAGGCCAATACATATTTTTTGTAACAATCAAATTTAAAAAAAAAAGTAGTGTTGATTGTAAATAAACCCAACTCTACAAATTGCTTATATATTTTTCAGTAGTATGTTAAAAATATAACCAATATTCAGTATTTTGTACATAGATTATTTTCTGTTTTTGCTACAAAAATACAACAAAACACAATTCAGTTAATCTTTTGTTATAATGTATTCAATAACTTGTTTTTTGTTAATGAGACGAATTGTTTGGCTGTCAATATATATAAATAATAATTGTTGCCATATTTTTAAACTTTTTTTTTTAGTTTTATTTGTTGTTGAATAACCTTTTGTTTACTGCTGGGAAAATACAGTGGATTCTGTTTTTAAAAAATATTGATTTAGCACACATGTTGGAAATAACATATGTGTATATCATTTGGTCGAATGGTAGAGTATTTGGCTACTAGCCTGAAGGTCTCCAGTTTGGATCTCTGTTTGAACTTGTGATGTCCTTGAGTACATCCAGCTCTGATAGGTCCCTGACAATAATAAAGGCAGCTTTAACGTTCCTAGAACACCACCCAAACTAGAACACCACCCAAACTAGACCACCACCCAAACTAGACCACCACCCAAACCTAGAACACCACCCAAACTAGAACACCACCCAAACTAGAACACCACCCAAACTAGAATACCACCCAAATGGGAAGGCATGGTTAGATAGTAGAGCACACAACTGCTGTAACCACAGTCTCGAGTTCGGGTTTGAGTATGTTATAGTTCGTCCCCGAGTCCACCCAGCTGTCCCCATGTGTATTTGGCACAAACGGGAAAAGATAATGATGATGATTCCTTCCCCTGCTACAAACCAATAGTGCTAACGACACTATTCTGAGGTCATTGCAACAGATGAGCTCTTACTTTATCTGCCCCCATTGTGCAATTGTGTCAAGAAAGGAAAAGATAAATGATGCTGATCAGTGGCGTAGCGAGGTCGGGTGTCACCCCCCTCAGAAGCGTAGCGTACTCTTCTCGGGACAAAACTTTCAATTTCTCGATTTGCACCACCCCCCCCTCAAACTTTCAATTTGCACCCACCACCCTCAAATTTCTTCTCTATGTATTTTACTATTTTTTGCCGCCTTGGTGTCACACCACCCCCCCCTAAATGGGTGGTCACCACGGTGCTGTCCACAACCCCCCCACCCTCGCTACGCCTCTGATGCTGATTCCCTTCCCCTGCACAACCCTATTTGATACAACAAAAAGTTCAGCAAACAAATCACCAGACGGGGTCGATCCATATAATGGACGTCACACTAATAAGTGGGACAGTGAAGTAGGCCTACGTAAATTTTTTGACGTCACTTTTTTGCATGATTTTTTTTTAACTGAATTTTAGCTGCGATCGCGTGCTTAGAAGAACTGTAACAATAAGTGGTAAGATAATTTGATATATAATAAAAATACCATGTAGACTGAGCTCGGTCAATATTTAAGAAAAAAAAATCAATGTTTAAAAAATATATTTCGTCTGCAATTTTGAGGTGGGGGGGGGGGGGTGACGTTGTGATGTGATTTAAGAGGGGAATCTGGCTTTTTTGTGACGATGTGTGACAGCGAGGAGAAGGAAGATAAAAATCGTTCAAAAAAAAAGTGACATTATTTCTAGTGACCCCCCTCCACACACACACACATACATTAACTAAGAATCCTAAGAAAGAATTAATAGGTTGGCCAAGAAACAAACGTGAAAAAACAGAAAATCAGTTGTCAGTGAAACACAAGCGCCCGGAATGTCATAGATTCTTCTAGGAGGAATCGCAAAAAAAAAAAAAAAAGAAAACAACCGAGAACAACGAAAACCGTGTTGTCTCCCAATAGTAGACAGCGGGTTTACCTAATAACCAGTGGCGTAGCGAGGTCGGGTGTGCTCACACGGTGCGGCACTTAATGGTGTCACCCCCCCCCCCCCAGAGCGCGTAGCGACCCTTCCCGGGGACAAACTTTTAAATTTTTTTATTTGCACCCCCCCCCCTCAACTTTCGATTTGATGCACCCCCCTCAAGTTTTTCGATTTGCACCCCCCCCCCCCCGTTCAAAACTTTCGATTTATATATATATATATTTTCCTATTTTTTGCCTTGGTGTCACCCCCCATGGTGTCACTCGGTGCGGTCCGCAACCCCCCCCCCTCGCTACGCCCCTGCTAATAACTACATATTTTAGAGAAATGGTACAGGGCCTCGGGTAGCTGAGGGATCATCCATACATGACGTCACGCTTTTTTGGCACGATTTTGACCTCCTCCCCTCCGTCACACGTCGTCACAAAAAGCCAGACCCCCACCCTAAAATGACGTCACACCTCATCCTACAAAACCCCCCTCAAAATTGCTGTTGAATTTTTCTTAAAACATATTTTTCCAAAATCTTGTCAGAACTCTGTCAACAGAGAGTATTTTGATCAATTCCTATTACAATTTATTAAAACCGTTTTCTAAAACGCGAAATAACGGCTAAAACTCGTTTTCCAACATAGTTTTTTTTATAATGCAAAAAAGTGACCTCACACTACTGACCACTTGAACCCCCCCCCCCCCTCCCCCTCATCACACAAAATCTCAAAATTACGGACCCCCCTCGCCCTACGAATGTGACGTCATTTATGGACAATAGCTAACTCCGAAAATCCCGAGTTCGAACCCCCAGGCCTTGAAATTTTCCGGGGCAGGGGGGGGGGAGGACGACACTGTGAAAAGTATATTTTCTATTTACATTATATCGTTTGGGCCGGTGCTGTAGACATTCTTCATCTCCCCCCCCCCCCCCCGAATAGATGCCTGAAAGAAACTCTGTACCCCCTCCACCGGCAGATTAGTCTTGTTAGCTGGGGTAGCAACCCCTCTAGGAGAGAAAACTATAATAATCAAACAAGTTGCCTAAAAGAAACTCGCTGGATTGTAGGCTGTCACTGAGCTCTTTTTGACAGTATCGATAAATGGTAAACGCATAATTTTAATGCAATAACCAACTACAAAATGTTCTATGCTGACATGCAAGTAATCTGTCAAATTTAAGCTAGAAAGAAAATTACATAAAGACTCAATGATGGCATTCTGTATAATACTTTGTACGCAGTGGCGTCGCTAGGTCGGGTGTCATCCGATGCGGTTTGCAACCCCCGCCCCACCCTCGCTACGCCTGTGATTATATGAAAACAGTTATATCAACAGACCTTGTTTCTTTTAGACTTATTTTTCTTCGGGAGGGAGGGGGGGTACTTGAACTATTTGGGAGAGACCAGGGTGGTTATATAACTTAACTTAAGGTTACGTAAAATAAGCTTGGTTGCAATACCATACAATTAAACACGGTTAATGAAAATAGGCGTCTAATTACGCCCGCGCATTCATTTCTTGCAGGCAATCATTTAATTTTCTTCTTCTTGGTTCATACTTGTTTTGTTGGGTCGGATAATATGACCTCCAACACCTTTACGTAATACCAGTGTTTCTTCCAGACTTTTTCCTCCGGGGGGGGGGGGGGGCGGACACTGTTAAAAGTATATATTTTCTATATAAATTCCATTTCGTTCGGGGGGGGGGGGGGGGTGCGGTAGACTTTCTTAAGCCCCCTCCCCCGAAGAAATGCCTGGAAGAAACTTTGCGTACTACGTGCCAACATATTATGCGCCATATGACTTCTGTCCTAGGAAGTCATACTGGACCCCCCACTCCACCCTCGGTAGAAACAGAAAAACAGTAACTTTTAAATAGAAAAAATATATACTTCAATCATCATTAGATCTTCTGAAAATTCAAGCGCTCCCAAAGCAAAATGTCTGGGGGAAAAAACATACCCTTATAATACCCCTCGTAACATTTCTAGGTCTATCTTCCCTCCCCTCCCTTCCCGCAAATAAAAACACTATAAAACGTGATTTTTCAGGAAATTTGCTTGTTAACTTCTACACTTGACACATTTGTAAACACGTAAGGTTGTCCACACAAGATGTCAGGCTTCTTTCCACCCTAAGGTTGCGTCACACTTAATAACAAAATTATATAGTTATGGATGTTTGCCTGCACTGTTCGTGTTGACATCTTCGCTAATTACAATTTTATAAGCTTACTTGCCAGTCAAGGAAGCCCCTAGGAAAATTTTGTCCGTCCTCACCGCCCCCCCCCCCCCCCCCGAAATATTCAAGCCCTCCCCTCCCCCGGTAAAAAAAAAGTCTGAAAGAAACACCGTTCGTATGTAAAATTTAGAAAAAAAGAAACAAAAAAGCCGATTTAAAAAAAATTATAATTCTAACCGATAAAAACAAATGATCAACAACCCCTCCATCCCCTTGGTGTTACGAATAAAAATGGTGTGGTCCTTTGCTATGTTTGACCTATACGTACTGTTAGTAATGTTAGGCTCAGCACCCATGATCCACAGATGTAGACATAAGGGAAATGCAACTCCCATGACCTTGAATTTGCTCAAAGGTGGCGCTGTTGGATTAATGTCCAACACCCATTGGTTAGTTGCTTCTCATAAGCAAAACATTCCTGCTTGGGCTTACCAGGGTACTGTTTTCCTGTTTTGTCTAATTTTGTGTCCTGTTTTGTGAGTATTGTAAGCTTTTACCATATTTTACTGAGTTGGTTTTATTTTACGCATATAATTAGAGCTATATATTATAGGTTTCATGCGTACATCTATAGGGAAATCCCTTCCAATCTTGGGTTGTTTCTCGAATTTTGTCCTGTCATGGCGGACTGTTCTATTTTTGTCATCTGCGCAGTCTTTGTTGTGACTATTCACTGTTCTGGGTTAACCACTTTTTAACAGACTGATTTTTATGCTAATCTTAATGTTATAATACAGGGTGTGTTCAGATCTGAGAATATTCGCGATACTTTGTGTATAAATCAACAGTGCTTTTTCATATTGGATTTATATTGGTAAATTTATGTAGTTTTTGTAGCCTAATTAAAATTGGCTGCTGAACTGTTCGTAGTAAAGTATAAAAATGTTTTTATTTAAAGGTTTAAAGTTTAAAGTTTAAACTACTGGGAGAATACAGTCAGATCTACCCTATAAAAAATTTGCCGGCCCCCAATACTACGGTTTACTTAAGAACTAAAGTCTAGTGTATAAATTTCTCTAGAATAGATCAATAGGCCTAAATTCTTTCTTTTGTGGATCCTGCTACAGTTCATAACGACATGGTCTCAAAATACTGAAAATAGTCACAACTCACGTGTGCATACCATCCAGTCACCTTTAGTTTAGCACTCCCAAAACTATGCCCACACAGTACACTACACAGACTAGAGTCACTAGATGATTAGATTTAGACTCTCTTGATTATACACATCACATTTTAGTGGAATTCATCCAGTAGTAATGTACATGGATAACAGGGTACATATAATTCAAATAATGAATTTGCCTATCATCTATTAATACTATTTCTATCATGAGTATTTTTATAAATCTAGAATCTAAATAATTTATAACATTGGTTAGGCCTATTACTCTTAGTATTAGATTTGTCCTAGATTCTATGCCTAGCCGAGCTAGCTAGATCTATCTTTATTTATTGATCCTAACACTACCAACATTTGTTTTTTTTTACTTCTGCCTTCCAAATAACTCAGTGAGTTAAATATGTTTAATCATCCCAGATACCCATTATTTCTATTGTAAATATGTTTATCCTAACTGATATGATACAGTATTTTGATTGCTTTACATTTTATAGTACCTCATTTTAATGTTCAAAATGTTTTTTGTTTTGTTTTCAGCATTCTTTGGTTTTGGTCATGCTAATTTAACAACTGAATGGGCCTCATGTCCCCTCCACCGCCTTCATGATAGTCTTTAAGGGCCAGCTCTTACCTTGTGGAAAAGTGAGCGGCTGTGAAGGAATCCATCTAGGCTCAGCGCCCCGAACATCAGCTACGGTGGCTAACTTGGGCATTGAAAGTTTAGCATTGGACGAACTAGGGACTGGACAGTTTAGTCAGATTTTGTTCAAGAACTATCCTCCGTCTATAAGTCGTTATCAGTTAATAACTATAGATAGTTCATTTTTTAAAAATTTGGGCCTTATAGGAACTTCAGCGTTGGGACAGTTTTTAGTGTATTCTTTCTCTGACAGTGTCTCCTCAGTGAGATGAAACCAGAGATAGATGCGGCAGCGGAATTCCTGTCACGGATTTTCCTTGCACATGACAATATTACCAAAGAAAAGGTGGGAGAGTTCAAGCAACATCTGTCGACCCTATTGGAGGAAAGATTTAGGAATCATTGGCATGAAACTTGCCCAACCAAAGGCCAAGCATATCGTTGTATCCGTGTTTGCCCTGAGGAACCCCTTGATCCAATTTTAGAAAAGGTTTGCTTTGAAGTGGGAATAAATCCAGGAGACTTTAACCTTCCATTTGAGCTAACATTATGGGTGGACCCTACAGAAGTGGTTTGCAAGTAAGTGTTTGTTTGATATAGCATTACATGAGAAATATGTGTAGTTATTTATATTAAATATTTCTTCATGCACTTATCAACTTTTTTTTAAAATATGGCTGAAAATTTTGCACTATCTAAAAATTATTTTATTCTGTAGATTTGGAGATCTTAAGTGCTCTTACCATACAGTTGCAAAGAAGGACCATTCATCTGGGAATCTGGACAATCAAGCACAGAATTTGGACATTGATGATCTTGTGGAAAATGCTCGAGACTTGTACCTCAAGAAGCAGACGGTGATAAACCACCCGGTGCACTCGACTGAAATGCATATCACCAATCCTTACTCAGATGGCACTTCCAATGGTATTAGCACGGCTATTAGGATCAATGGAACGATGCATTATGCATCAGGATCTCCTCCCCCAGGGTATGATGGTTCACCTCGTGGCAAAGGCAAGCCAGCACACTCAATTCATCACAAACGTGGAGGCGGTTTCCATTACTATGGGAAAAGTTCTGGTGGGAAAGGCACCTACATTTCGAATGGCACGATAAATTCCGCTGGCTCTCATGTTACATCAGCGCACCATATCTACCCGCACCATCGCAACCATAACCACCATCACCCTCATAATCACCATCACCATGGCAGCAGCGGGCAGAATGCCACGGCGCCCTACAGCAATGGTTACCTGAATGGTTATGGAGATGAAAATGGCTATGGTTATGACCAGCGCTCAGTTTCACCAACCAAGATGATGAATATTGGTACACTGCCAGCAATAAGCAGCGCAGGTGGCCCCGGGCAGATATCTCAGAGCTCCCCAACTCCTGAGCAGATACAGCAGCAGATGCAACACCCGCCCCCAATGCCTCCTCCACCACCAATCCCACCCCACCTCCACCAAGCCTTCAGCCATGCCCCTACTGATACCACTACCCTGCCCCCTCCTCCACCACAGCAACCACCCCCATCCTCCTCTGCAACCACAATAGATACAACTTCCAGTAACAGCAACATCAACAGCAATGGTGCCGGTAGCGGGAAACCAAGCAGCAATGGCAGCAACTCAAAGTTCCAGAGCACTCGAGGTATAGTTAGCTCGAGAAACAAACAGTCCAGTCCTGTGAAGGTCACGAAGTGAAATCTCACTGACTTGGTGAGCGTAGCTTCCTCTTTCACGTCATCCTTTCCACTCCCAATATCCTGTATATAACTGTTTTTAAGGCTGTAGGTGCTATTTCCTTTGGACTAGAGATTGGCAGATTTGTGCAGACTGACATGGTGAAGGCTTATTCAAAGATAATAGAGCATACAGCCATCTTTTCTTTTACTTGTTCAAATTATTATTAGAAATTACTGCCTACTAAGTGGATGAATGTTCGCCTTACATTGCTTTCTCAACAGAATTGTAAAATTCCTTTATTGACCCTCTTGGTGTTAAATGAAAATGCATAAAGAGATTGCCCTTGTTAAAATGATATAAATTGTGAAATGACAAAGTAAAATGAGTTTTTGTCTTTTTCTTTAAGCTCAATTTCCAAAAATTCAGTTTACTTTTAGCAACGCTTTTGTTGCTTTTTAATTCTAAGTTCTCTTACATACTTTTAATTTTTTTTTTGTAGTTTGGGATTTTATTTTTGGTTTTAAAGTGGATTTTAAAGTCTTTAGTAGTGGAAGGGTATGTTTTCAATCAATTTGTTTTGGCACTTTGAATGAATTTGGTTTTGAGATCTTTAAAAATTTCATAATTCAGATTACAATTTTAAAATTGGTTATTCATAATGAATTTTAATTTTTGGGATTTTATTGTTTTGTCCTTACATCATGACTAAAAGGGTGCATTAAATTTAAAAAATATCTTTTGGTATTTTCTTTTAGTAATTTCTCTTTATTCATTTATATGGTCATTTTTAAAAACATTTTACTATTTTATGAGTTTTTTAACTTGTCTTTGGTACTTGAACAAGAGCTATCTTCAATATTGCTATTTTAATTTTAAAAGTTTGTAATGTAAAAAAAAATGTAACATTTTATTATATCAGAAAAAGAGCTTTGGACACTTTTAAAATTACCTCAAATTTTTATCTAAATTTTGGTATAGAATGTATTTTTCTGTTTCTATGTGCTGGGTTTTTTCATGCATTTTAAAAAAAACATTTGTGTTGTAACGATCACTGCGGAGCTATTGTCTCAAATTATCATTGTGCTTAGATATACTTGGAAAGATTTGTTATAACTCGTTCAACATTAGGCTTAATTCTTTGCTTAACCTCTGCATTTCCTGGATGGAATTTTCACATTATTTTAATTTTTTTTGTTGTAGTTGCTGTATTATCTGGTCCAAATTTCACTTCTGGCTTTTACTCCAATGGTACTCCTAAACTGTCGGTTCAGTTGTTATAATGTATGGTATTTTTTTTTCTTGCTGCTAATGTAACAGTGAACACTTTATTAACCTACACCTCCTCGCCTTATCTTTGGGATTAACTAGTACTGCTGATAACAGTTAGGACCATTTTGTTACTTTTTTTTTAAAAGCTGACAATACATAGACTTTATTTTTCGGAACCTAAGATCCACTTCAAGAATTGTATTGCTAAGGTGAAATATATTTAACCCTTTTAATCTTGCTGCCCGCTTTTTGAAATTCATTCGGATATTCAACATTTAATTGAATAGTTATTGTGCTTAAGTATGTTTTTTTTTTAATTCGTTACTGGTGTATAAGTAATCTTGTTAATATAGTATTCCCCAGATTTAGAGTTTATAAAAAGATTTAAATTTTCTTTTTTTGTATTAAATAAAACTGTATTTTTGTGTGTAGATCTGCTGACCTGGAGAAATAAGCACAATAATGAAAATAATTCAGCTTTTGTGCATATTTAAAAATGAACTGTGCTTATGAGTTAATCAGTCTTAACAAGAAAATGGTGCTTTCATGTGTATATATAATTGCTTTGTTTTATGGAGAGGACAATAAGTATCTTTGTAATCCTGTTGTGTCAATATTTGACATTTTGTTTTTTTAATTTTTGAGTTGGAATGTGTGCCATTGTCTTTAATTAGTTTTATTGAGTTAACCTTGGAGCTTTTCTGTGGCTTGCTGTTATGTTGATGTGTTGCTTTTTTAAAATAATGTTTTGGTTGGTTGTGTTTGAGATGTTATAGGTACCATCAACAGAAATCTGTCCAGCACAATGTGATGTCTTTTTGTTGATAATGTACAAGACCAATTTCATTCACACTGTGTACATAGCCCAAAATCTAGAATATTGTCATTATTTTTAAAAAAATAGTATAGTTAAGTTAACCATTAATGTCCCGTAACGCCCGCTGCCGCCCGACACCGTTAATGTCCCGTAACGCCCGCTGCCGCCCGCTTACAATAAGCATAGAAAAATTAAATTTGTTTCATTAAAATTTGGCCTACAAATCCTAATTTTTAACTAAACAGGAAGTCGGATGGTTTCAGCATCCTTTTCCGGTCTTGTAATTTCAATGGCGCTTTTGAAAGAAAAAATAATAGTTTCTTTCTATCTCGAAATTTTCGACTCATCTGTCGTATTTTTAGTAGATTTAATATTAAAAATAAAAAAAATTAATGCCTCTAAACGTATCTAGGCATGTAGTTTATGAATTATATATGTTAAACATAACCAAATTGATATTTAACTGTTAAATTCGATGCATAGTTGTTAAGACAAAAATAAATAAAGTTGACTACTGAAAATGACCTGTTTTGAATTTTCTCAGACATTTTTTATTTTTATACTGTACTTTTACCGAATATAATATATTCTATTTAATACTGTTGGAAAGCCAGGTTTATTCCCAACATTAAGCAGTACTTTTTATCTTAATTTTCAATTTCATTTAGACAAAAACAAATATTTTGTGAAACTATTCACTTGATCATACAGAGTTATGCTCCTTACATTGGGCCGTCATGGGTGGAGTTTTGGTAGAATGAATGGGACATTAATGGTTAATGTCAATTGTTTAATCTTTAAAAATTGAGTTCATTAGTTTATCAGGAAGACATTCATATTGAATTCAAGCTTCCTTGTTAAATTTAATTTTTAGGATATTTAATTTTTTGATAAATGATGGTGATATTTCCTTAGACAAATGTTCATCTTTCATCATATGCTGTATTAAATTAAATTGTATAATACTTTGTAAGTAAATGTTTAAAGATCAAATTGTCTATTTTTAAAAATATAAGAAAATCAAACTTAGAGTGCTGCATTGTTTATATCCAATTATATTTATTTTATACTTTCATTTTTGTATATATCATGAAAAGGCCCACAATTGTAAATCTGTCAACTTCAAAAAAGTTTAGACCAGTTTTCTCAGCAATCTCCATAAGCAACCCACCTAAGCTTATTTTAAAATTTCAGTGTTAGACTATTTTAGTTTTTATTTTCTAGGTTTTCTTATTAGTAAAAAAAAAACTTAGAAAAAAGATATCAATGGTAAAAGATACAGTTAAATGCAGATAAATGATGTCTTTTTTTGGCTTGTTTATTGGCTTTGTAAAGTTTGTTAATAATTTCAGTTTCATAACTTTCCCTCCCATAAACTGTTATACAAATTCATTGACCATACTCATTTTGCAAAATGAGATTACCCATTAAAAGCTGACCATCTATTGATACAAAAAACTTAACTATTGTACAATATTGCTATTGATTATAAATCAGGGAGCATTATTTTATATAAACTATAAATGGTACATTGTTTTGTATGATTGTTTATTTTCTTTTTATCTGTTGTTGCTAATTTTGTTCCCAATACTTACAAGTTCAAGCATCTCCATAAAACTTTGATAATTGTATTTCCATGAATTCAACCTTATTCTCAGTGTACACACACTTTGGAACAAATGTACATACTGCTCCAGCTAATTGTTGCCCCCTATCTAGCTAATTTTCCACACATAACTTAAAGCTTTGAAGGAATTGTCCCAGTTATTTTTAAATGTTATTAAAAATATTCATAATGGGGTAGATTATACCATGTTTACTGAGTGCTTTGTGCTTATACACTTTAAAGTCTAAAAGCTAGTATTTTTGGCAACATTCCAGCCGTTAAGAAACCAAATAGTTACAATTTCTCACCTCTGCCCCATTTTGATTATCTTGGTTTAAAAAATATGATGTGATATTCTAGGAAGTGAAATGGCAAGTTTTGCTGTTTTAACTTTGAAAAAAAAATCAAAGCATTGTGTGCAGATTGAATCAGAATACCTTAAGAGTTAACAGGGGTTATATTTCTGTTAGTAGTTTTATCATTTTTGCAGCATCATATTTTAAATATTCTCTCGTAACATCCTGTTGAGCCTCTCATGACATGCAGATGACGCTTGTCATCCAAGCATGTCACTGATGTCTTTTATCACTTGTTATTCTACATAACCAATAGAGAAAGATTATTATTTGTGTTGTTAAGTGCATGTTTTATATTGTCCTTACATAGAATTATTATTATCAAGAGCTATAATATTTTCTGGCAATTTCTAAAGAATATCAAAGATGACTGTACACTTAAAGAAATATTGTTTGTTGTTGACTAGTTCTACGTATAATTAATTTTATAAAAGTGTTAACAATTTATGTGGGATTTGTCATGGAGTTTTTTTCCTCATGGAAATATTTTGATGTCTATCTTTGAATAGTCTGTATCACATACTTGTTTAATTTTTTGCCAATAATGCAGAGGTCATTAAAGTATATTCTAAACTATAACTTGTGCGGAAAATACAATTTTAATCCAAAATGTCCTACCTTCTACAGATCTGATTGTCAGTTTCCTTCAAACAATTTGATTGTTTGGTTTTTTTTTTAACTTGCAGATTGCACAAACTTTACCTATCTAGAAGGAATTATCCTTGGTATGGGCTTTTAAGTGTGTATTTATTAGGCATACGAGATAATTTTTAAAAAATAGCATTTAAGATTTTTTACTTTCTATCCAGATTGTTTTTAAAAAGTATATTGCACCTTTTTATCTAATTAAAAAGTAAGTATTGAAAGTTAAGTTTTTTTTTCATCTAAAGTGAATGTACATACATAAAACCTCAGACCAGCTAGTTAAAATATTTGATCATTCTAGAGAATTTTACTTTGTAAAATATTATATATTTTGACTTATTGTAAAGAAATAGCAAATTTTTATCTTGTGAGACATCTAAAAGATATTTTAAGTGCTAAATTTTAAATATAACTATTATTTTTTAATTATATCTTGTCCTTGATGAATAATCACAAGGTAGTCAGTAAAGGTTTCTTGCCTAATACTTTCATGTACCGGTAAAGTTATTTCCCTTACTGATTTTCATATTGCATCCGCAGGCAGGGAAATTGGTTTTATTCATAACACAATTTTTCTTTATTTTTTTCATTCTCTATATTCTGCATACTTTTAAAATACATAATTATCAATTAGAATTTTCTTTTATTCCTTTCAATTGATGGAGAATCATTTTGTTTTAGTATACTTTGAGGCAAATTCTGGAAGTGTCTGTACATTGTGAGGCTAGTGCTTGGTCCAATTTGTTCTTTATTGTAGATAGATCCTATTCAAGACAAATGGAACAATGTGCTTTCTTTTCACGATTAATTCATGCCTGTTTTTTTTTTCTTATTTAATTTGTTGTTCACCCGAC